TTTGGTTCATTGGCATGTGCTCAGAGTGCGGTGTGATATGTTAGAAGAAAGCACAGAACATTTTGTGCAATTCCAATGAGGGAGACTGAAGTTACGTCCCGTTTGCCGATGCCGGTCCGCGAAGGCATACTGTAAATATACAAATTTTCGGCAGCTATTTAATTTCGGCTATATTCGGCACCGACCCAAAACGCCTAAATTAAAACGCCGATGAAATTTTTCACAGCATCTGTCGCACTATACCATGCCCTCTACCCCACGCCGAAAATAAATCGCCGCCGAAATGTCAAAAAAATCGTGAAGTGCCGAAATTTTGTATATTTACAGTAGTCCCACCTTAAAGGGGAACTCCGGTCCAAAATCACCCCCATTTTTTATTGCGGAATCCATTAGAGTATGTCGTAAGTGGTAGAATGGCGAAAACCGGAAGCTTCTACGACAAGGATAACATACCTAAATTACCAATTGCAATTTTCCATATTTGGCACGAGGGGCCCCCGCCCACCCTGTGACGTAAAACGTTCTCAGTGACCTCCAAATAATTAATTGTTTTATTCAAATGGTAGACCTGCAGAAATTTTGAAAAAGGTATTCACTGTTTTTTCTTCAATCAATAACCCTTGTACAGGTCGTCCCCCGTTAATACGAGTCCGGTTAGTACATAAACCCCGTTAGTACATAAGAAATCTCAAGTCCCGGACGAAACGTGGTCACTTCCATACAAATTTTGTCGGTTAGTACATAATTCGTTAGTACATAAACCCCGTTAGTACATAACATTTCTCCGTACCCGCATGCCACCTACCTCAATAGTACATAATTTGTTGTTCTTTTGGCCTTCCAGTGGAGGCACATCGTGTTCTAGTTTCTACTTGTGGACGCAATTAGCTCAGAAATCAGAGCGCACATCACAAACCGACAAAGCTCTGTTGTTTTTTCGAGTGACTGTACAGGCGCCGCTGGGCATGTATCATGTAAACTGTAGAATCTTCGCTGACTGTGATCGTTATAACATAATTTTTATGTTATATCGAGGGAATCAAGAATATCTCGCTCCCTAGTCATGGCAGCAAGAAACACTCACAAAAGTTGAAAAAAGTGAAAAATTCTGGTATACAAGCAAGTTATGTACACTGTCGTTTAGTACATAAACCCCGTTAATACATAACATTTGTCAAGTCTCAGAGATTATGTATTAACGAGGGACGACCTGTACTAGTATTCATTCGATCATCATGTTGGAGGAAGAGGAGACCACGGGAGGTGTGGAGGTGGACGCCACTTCGGATTCAACAACACCGAGGCCTTTTAGGTTCGAGCCGAAGCGCGCATCAGCGTCTGCGAAACTGTCTACAAGTAATATTTCTGAGACTACAAAACAGATGAACGTGAAGAGAACGCTTTGGTTGCAAGTGCTCGCGTGAGAAGCACTGCTTGATGCCGTTGCGGACAATGCAGCATGATGTGGAGCGAGGTCGAGTCGACTTGTTGCTGGGAGGTTCCTGCAGCTTTCAGTAAACGCGGCGAGCAGGAAGGGCTGCAGTGTGTCACGCAGCACTCAGAGTTTGCTGTTGTTTGCCTGCAAAAATCAGTGCTCGAGGTGGCATTGCTTTCCTTCGAAGAATTTTGGGCAAGGTGTGGACCGTGGTCAAACAGGTGAGGATTCACTGAATCGGTTTCATTATTTCCTTTCTTTCCATGTTTCATGTACCGGTACAAAGTAGATGGGAAGTGTTGTGCAATGATTTTGTGTACAGTATTCAAATTCACCAACTTCCATCACACAATCATGAAGTTCTATTGCACCCATGCCAATATAATTATACTGGTACAACGATGTCTTTCATTCATACTATTCCTAGCACTGTAAGTGTTTCAACTGTGTGTAAAAGTGATGTAAATTTGAAAAAAAGGCCAAAGTGTCTTTAGTATAGTAGCCCATAGAAATATTAACTCGAATCCGAAACTATTTACACTGAAACTATTTACTTTTACACAATCATGAAGACACTCGTGGTATGTGTATCTACATCTCTCCAACTGTTTTGTGCAGGATTTGGAGACATGTGGCGTATAGACAATACACATGGTTCACCCATGGATACTTTGGACGCAAGCAGCGGCGTGTGATACCGTCTTGCGTGGTATCGAAGATAAAGCAGCTGTACCAGAAGCCAATGCAGATGCGCACTGGGGCTTTGAGGAAGCAGTTGGACATGATGATGATGATGATAATGCTTCTTGGCCTGGTTGATGTTCACATAATCATTGGTACATGTGCATGCAGAATGTAGAAAACAGTTGACAGACACGATTTATAACTATTCTTGACTCGGGCAATATGTGTGTTTTCGGGTGGGCGCATGCTTTGCACCAATGCAGCTGCACGAACAATCTGGTAAAGTTGACAGATACAATGGCACAAGACTGTACTGTGTTCGGGAGCATGGGGTTGTGCCGGTGCCGTTGCGAATGCCGAGAATGGTTGTATGCACATCGTTCAACAGGTCCTTCAAGAAGTTGCAGGACATTGTCGTGCAGCTTCTTGGCCACTTTGTGCTCTTGGTGTATTCCAGCCTGTACCTGAGCACACCCTCCTTGGTTTTGGCGTGCGCTCTCCCTATATTGGCATTGTGGGACAGACATGCCGACTGTACCCGTGCTCTCATGCCATTGTACGAAAAGTGGACACGTTTTGGTGCCCACTTCAGTATGACAGCATGGAAAATTTCCAGACTACAAATCATACTGTACCTTGTATTTGTGGCAGTGTAGCTGCAACCGGAAAGTAACGCAATGGAAACTTACAGATAAAGAGAACCGAAATAACACACATGATAACGTTCCATGTACATTACATCAATTCTCGACTTCACTGACTAGGATTTTGAGTAGAGGACTTTGAGTAGGACTGAAGTCGTTTAGAGCTACGTTCTGGACGGCACAAAATCATGCCGTTCACTTCCCTCATCGTGCTCACGTTCTTGGAAGTAAATCGAAGATGGTCTGCTTTTTGCTGGCAGCAGAGGTAGAGGAGCTACTAACTATTAGTATGACATGCACCGCCAAGTTTCAGGATGGCAGAGACCCTGGCTTCAAGCGTCGCTGCTGCTTCTGCTTATAGCCACCAATGCTTTGTGCAAACTTTTGTTGGAAATCTCTTTCATAGCACATCTCAGTGAAATGCTCAGTGCAGACACGAATATTTTTCGTCGGAGAAAAATCCTTCCAACATACTCTCCATAGCCAAGCTGTCGTCAGGTTCGCGTCAGCCAGAGGAAAGCCATGCTACGACAGCCCGCAGGCGCCTCTTTCTTCGTGACATTGTTGCATCCAGAGACGCAGCAGCGAGTCGTGACAATAAATCGGGCATGGCACAGAACAACAAGCACTTCAACAATGGCCAAGGACTTTTCATTCTTGCTTCAATTATTTGAAAATTTCATCTGAGTGGACCGGGCTGAGAACGTTTTACGTCACAGGGTGGGAGGGGGCCCCTCGTGCCAAATATGGAAAATTGCAATTGGTAATTTAGGTATGTTATCCTTGTCGTAGAAGCTTCCGGTTTTCGCCATTCTACCACTTACGACATACTCTAATGGATTCCGCTATAAAAAATGGGGGTGATTTTGGACCGGAGTTCCCCTTTAACCCTTTCAGGGTCACAGTGCATTTACTACATTTGGGCACTGAAATTCAGTGCATCAGTACAATTGTGGAGATAGCAACAAACAAATTGTCACAGCATTTTTGTTTCTCAACGGACTGGAAAGCTCCTTTCCTGCTCGTCATCTTCCACGTACTTTCAGAGCATACAGCACCTCAAGGACGCCCCTAGCCTCGCCAACAGTGTCCCTGTCATGCTCCAGTTTGGCATCAAGACCACACACAACTATTTCCATCGGTTTGGGGCTCATACTCAACGTAGAACTACGATTCAAACCGCATCGAACTCGTAAGATTCAAGGGATTCAAACGATGTACTCATACGTCCTGCTGCCTTTCACACGTCATTGGGAAATCCCCTTGAATGACTTGAAAGTCGCAAAAAAATCGCCAGACAGAAAGTAAGAAAAATGTTCAGATCGAAATCGCGCGTTCAATTTATCGCCGCTTGATCATTTGTTGAGCTATCGCCACACCGAAAACACCTCTGGAAAGCCCTTTCCAAGACCGTTCCAATGAGCTATAGGTCTTGGCGATGCGATAATCCACTCCAGAGTTATGACTGTTTGTACAATGATCTATCAGTGCGTACGGTAAGTGGACTGTACAAAAAGTATAGCGCGAGTATTCGTCATTGCCCAGATGCGATGGGGTCTGCATGACGAGTATACTCGTCATAAAAGTATAGCGCGAGTATTCGTCATTGGCATTGCCCAGATGCGATGGGGTCTGCATGACGAGTATACTCGTCATAAACCCGGAAAGGGCTAAGTTATCAACCGTTACCATCATGGCCAGAAGTCAGTCGCCACAAGGTAGCGGCTAGTTGATCATTTTGAGAGATCTCTAACCCATATACGGAATAGCTAGTGTGGGAGCTCGTGTTGGCAGCCCCTCTTATCTGGGCATCGACTGAAGGAGGTATAGTATTAGTAGTAAAGAAAATACTACTCGATGGATTTGCAAGGGTGCTCGCTTGAGAGAGAGAGAGAGAGAGAGAGAGAGAGAGAGAGAGAGAGAGAGAGAGAGAGAGAGAGAGAGAGAGAGAGAGAGAGAGAGAGAGAGAGAGAGAGAGAGAGAGAGAGAGAGAGAGAGAGAGAGAGAGAGAGAGAGAGAGAGAGAGAGAGAGAGAGATGCCTGGATATGGGAGGGTTTAGTTAGTGTACAGGACATGCCCATAAGTATGCGGGAACTGCACTATAGTTATATCATACGAGCATCAACTGTATTCTGCACAGTCTGCAGACCCTGACCACTGTTGGAAACTAAACGGTGTTGCTAGTACACAAGCAGCAAACAAAGCCGAGTACTAGTAGTAGCCCTATCCAGCATACCTCACAACCAGTAAGTTCAATCAGCTGCGGGACCAACTGCTCCATAATGGACTGCCGTGAGCTATCATCAGCCGCAGGCTTGTGTGCTTCCTTCAACTGGGTGGGAACAACAAGAAAACAAGTAGTTGACACGTAACAGAAGAAATACATTTAGAGCCGGGTTTATATTGTATTGGATAGTGTTTCGTAATGCAATACACCAGTCCTCTGTGCTAACTTCTCTCCACGTATTAGTTTGAAGTGGCAGACAAGATACAGAGTACACGCATAAGCAGTGTAGGAGCAAGAGTACATCAACCAGAGTGTGCAACTCTGCATTATGGTTCTTCTTGAGAGCGGAATGCGCTGCTTGCATCATTTGGGGGGGGGGGGGGGGGGGTCGTCCAAAATCCGGGATGTTCACAAGCAACTGAAATGCAGCATGACACAAGAGGGGGCCCGTATGGGTAGTTTAAGAGAGCATGTCTGAGAATACCAAAGTATGTGTGCAAGTGGATCTCTCCGATTTCGCTCAAAATTTGCAGGTAGGTTCCCTTTGGGGTGTGGATCGATCGTGCAAAGCCCTTGAAAAAGTTTCTGAAGGGAACCTTGAAATTTGCATACCCCTCAAAAATGGCCGAAATATCACATTATTTATGGGTCTAGAAACGAGTCACGCCACAGCGTATACGAACAAGCTATGAACAAAACTCCATCAAGCCAACATTGCCTCACCTTAGAAGAGTTCCTGGAGCAGTACCGCTTAGCCACGCCAGCATCCCAGAAGACGAGGTCCATCACCCCCTGACGCCACAAATGATCTTGCATCTTGCAATAAAATTCAAAAACTGCGCTCAGGCCTTCAGTCACTTTTGCATCAACAGTCGCACAAAAAATTATTGGTGGCGCAAGGAGAAGCTTGTCGTTTGGAGTGACAAGTTATCACCGCTGCTTTTCCTTGTCAAAGTCAACACTACACTTTGTTCTGCGGCCTTGGGAGTAGTGTTGGAGTAGAAATTGCTGAGGAGACGTCTCGGAGGGGCGAGCTTTCCTGCGCAGGTATGACTTTGGCCGTATTTCAGCATGGTCGAGTGGAAAAATTCAAAAAAGTTTATTTCAAGAAAACCCCAAAAGGAAGATGGGGGACATGTCCTCAGCGCTAGAAGAGGTGTTCTACTATCTGCCGGTGTATAGTTCTGGCCAATTGAGGACGTAGCTGGCTGTTTTGCCAGCGCTTGTAAATTGGCTATTTTCAAGACGATCATTTGTGGCGTCAGGGGGTGATGGACCTCGTCTTCTGGGATGCTGGCGTGGCTAAGCGGTACTGCTCCAGCAACTCTTCTAAGGTGAGGCAATGTTGGCTTGATGGAGTTTTGTTCATAGCTTGTTCGTATACGCTGTGGCGTGACTCGTTTCTAGACCCATAAATAATGTGATATTTCGGCCATTTTTGAGGGGTATGCAAATTTCAAGGTTCCCTTCAGAAACTTTTTCAAGGGCTTTGCACGATCGATCCACACCCCAAAGGGAACCTACCTGCAAATTTTGAGCGAAATCGGAGAGATCCACTTGCACACATACTTTGGTATTCTCAGACATGCTCTCTTAAACAATTTGGTGGAGTGCATGAGGCTTTGGTCAAGCTGGCTAAAATGAGGGTTTAACAATCCATGACTGCAGTGTGCTGCCTAAATGGTGAAGGCAACTAGCAAGAGTGCAGGCAGGCGCACAGCACCAGAGCAAAATCATAGTTCGGGTTCTTTTAATAGCTCCGACCCTGTTTTCAGCCCTCTGTTATAAATATAATGATTGCTGAGTGCGGCTGACAACACTCGTTTGGCCACCTTGACTTATGTCACGAAGGAAGCAGTACAGCTGCCCAAACAAACATAGTTTGACTCAGTGGCCAGAAGACTACAGGCAGTATAAAAGAACATTAGGCCGTAATGACTAGTCCAATCAAGGGTCAACATACCTGGTTTGCGCCGGCAGTATGTCTTGGTTTGCGCCGAGACTGCACACAGTGACACACGTACATGGGCAGAGAGAAATAGGTGAAGCACAGAGTAACTAGAAAGCTGCTTGTAAGGTTAGGCAAGAAGAGGGTGCCAATGAAGACCAGTCTCACTGGAACCAGATGCAAGCGTCTGGCCTTGTCACACCCAATTTGTCTTTCAGCCAGTGTACTAATATGGACAATGGACTTTCGGTCGGCAATAAGCGAGTTAGCCTTGATGGCATCCTGGACTCCGTCATACCTGGCCAGCAACAAGCCGCCGGCACGGTTTCAAAGTGCTGAAGCGACGCCGTCTTCAACTGATGAAGAAGAAGATTCTCCACCGCTGTCACTCCAAGAAGCAGTGGACGGCTTGCAAGCAGCAATGGCTTACCTCCCTACTTACCCACGTGCAGCAGCATGCTGCAGTGCTATTGCTCAGGCCTCTAGAAATCCAGAGGACAAGCAACTGCAGGGCCGCCGGCAGGCTTCAATCACACAGTATGTTGCACCTTTTAAAATACGTTTGGCTTAAACTATGCATGGGTGTACTGTTGCGGACATTGAAATCCGGTGGAATGACCGGGGCCCGGCACCCTTACTGTGGAATGACCGGGGCCCGGCACCCTGGCCTTACTGCGTGCACGCACTGTAGTTCACGTACACACTGCAAAAATGGACCAGCAGTGTGCAACACTCAATAAGAGTCATATGAACGTGTACCGCTTGCGTACGCATGGCTGCAAGGACAGCCGCACGGCCCCGTGGCTGCTTGACTTCTCACCAGATTTCAATGTCCACAGCAGTGTATGCACATGTTTATGACACATACGTGTACAGCCATGCACATCTGCAATCGATTTCTGGCTTTCGGATCATATACGTATCGCATACTCAGGCTGCGTTTACACGACAACGCACGGCCAGTTTTCCGTTTTCAGTCCCGCATTTCTTTTTTCGTTTTCGTACGTTTACACGATCAAAGCCGATCCGAGGTGGTCTCCGTTTGTATCGTTTTTAACCCTTTCACTGCCAGCTGACTGCTCAAGTGACAAGGCACTCAGTGCCAGGCTGTCAGCTGAGCTGTGCACTCCCCAGTGCCAGGCGCTTTTTACCTCCAGTTCAAAAAATCGAAAGGCCAACTTTTCCTGGATTTTTTGGTACTTTCTGTACGGAATATCGCTTTCTAAAGTATACACCGTAGGTAGCCAACTGATAAAGGAAGCCATTGCCCTCGAAAAAAATCGCAAAATCCGAAGTACAAGCACGCTGAGCGTTCTAGCGCCAGCCGCTGTGCAACAAGTCATGTCATGTCATGCGAAAGTGCGCCGCGTGCCGCATGCACTACATACACTGCATGTACACCATGTGTACGGCCCGGCCAGTTGCGAAGTAAAGTTAGTTAGTTGTTGTTTTGGAGAGAGAAGGAAATCCTGTTTTTCGTTCGGTGGGATTGAAAGATCTGCCAGTGGACCGGAGAGCTACAACACTTGAAGCAGAAGAAAGTGCTTGCTGAAACTTCCCTGTCTTCGTGGCAACAGGACTTCAGTTTGCGAGAGACTTTCGTCCTGTCGCTGCGGACGCAATTTTTGTTGCTTGCAGAAAACTTGGGGAACGGTCGCGACTCGTTTCGTGAGGCGGATCGTGTCGCTGAACAGCCGCGGATTGTTCTGCCGACATGGTGATCCTTTGTTCTCCTAATTATCAGCAGTCCAAGCACATCTCTTCAACGTCGGAGAATGAAGCGCTTCCCTGTTCCGTTGACAAGCGCTTCGCTCGCGGGTGTAATGCACTTCCGCATCAGCTTGCAGTAGATCGCCGGGTATTGAGGTAGGTGTCGTTGCGGAAAGAATAATATTATTATACTTGTAGCTGACATACCTGTAGTGTCCCTTGACCGTGCTGGTCGCCATTGCAACGTTTTAGGTCTCAGGAAAATTGAGTTCTGGACGCGGCGAGCGCCGCCAGCGCTGTTTCCGTCAATTTTGTACATAGCTGCATCCAAAATGCGTTTGTGAGGAATCCGTCGTTTGGTTCCCTACCCGTGACTCCAACCGCCTGTCGCAATGGATAGCCGCCTGGAGTCTTGGGTAATAGCTAGGCATCAAGTCTGAACCAAATTCCATGCTCTATGCAAAGAAAGTTGACGGGAAAGAGAAAAATACTCGCACCGACTCAGCTCGGTGGAAGTGCGTGGGAACCGATTTTTTCAGCGCCGCTCGGCTAAAAATTGGATACACATTTTCAACGACGCTGGTTCGATTTTTTTCAAATGGCAACCCCTACTCCTGGCAGCGTATTTCAATGGATATGGACCCCTTCCAGGGCCCAGTAGCCCTCTATGGCAGCTAAACATCTCCAATGCCCCAAAATAGTGGCCCAAACTGGGCGAAGTCGGCCTGTCGACTGCAGTCGACTGCAGTCGACAGCGGCACTGGGAACTGCATTCTTGCTGGTCGACTGCAGTCGACAGCGGCACTCAGAGTGCATGAATGGGCTGACTGGAGTCGACAGCGGCAGTGAAAGGGTTAAGCGTCTACACGAGAGCAAAGGATCCGCCAAAGTTCGTCATGTGCCAAGTGTTGCCGTGGAAGCACCAATCACACTCAAGTAATGGTTGAAAACAGGCACACGACAACACACGTCACATGACGAAAATTGTAAAAACAATCTTTTTGGATTGTCGGATCCGTGTAAACGGCCGAAAACGAAACAAACGTGACGGAAAACGAGGCCAGCACACCGTTTCGACTGTTCACGTTTGTTTACACACCCAAATTTATCCGGCAGAACATTTCCGTTTTCAAATTCTTCCACCTTGGCCAGCGTTTTGGTTTTCTTCCGTTTTGGTGTACAACTTTTACGTTTTGCTCCGCGTACCGTGTAAATGAACCATGGATCCGAAAGGATTTCGTTGCGTTTTCGCCCCCAGCGTTGTCGTGTAAACGCAGCCTCATTGTAAAGATCAGGTTACGTGACACTGAGATCAAATTATAGTGACTTGATTTGTTCTCTCCCGAAGGAGTGTCATGACATCCAATCTCCACTGTGAGGGTTATCCAGCTTTACAGGACAAGATCCTGGTTAACTCTGAGGGAGTAGTACCCTGTACCATCCATACACCATCATCAGCTTACCTTGCCATTTCCATTGATTCCACCAGCAGCAGCAGAACCTTTACTCAGAGTTTGATGACCAGGGTGTGCGGCGGCTGCCGGCTCCGTGATTCGCCGAACAGAGGCATAGTGCTCGCCGTGGTGGTAACTAACATTCAGGACACGCACATCACCAGGGCTGCTGCCGTCGTTACCATTGATCTGCAATGCACACATACACACACACACACACACACACACACACACACACACACACACACACACACACACACACACACACACACACATGCATCAATCAAATGAACCCCTCGATAGGCATATTGCCTTTGGGTCATTTCATAATATAATAATAATAATACAAGGGCATACCCGGCGTTACGCGCCCAGCTCAATCGTGTTGGTCTCAGAGTACAAAGAGATGCAAAGCCACTAATCATTGCCAGTGACAACATTGGGCTCAACTATCTTTCGCTCAGAGGGTAAGGGAGGGAGTGGCTGTGCAAGAACCAAAGTAATTCGTTTCGTGAAAAACACACCAAATGTCTAGGGTTAGATCCACACTCGTGTTAATGAAACTCGAGCTGAAATTGCCCCTACTTTAAAGGTACAGTCAGACCTCGCTTAACCGCACACATCTGTTTTCCACAAAAATATCCGGATAGGCGAGGGAACCGGATAACTGAACACACATACTGTACATGCATGTGGCATGTCAAAAGCAGTGACATCATACATACATGTACATGTACATGTAGACTAGACGGGTCCTACGCGGTACAACCAGCGTGCACAGTATGTAAAACAAGCGAGAAAAATGACAAGTGCATGAAATTGAGTGCTGTCTGCATGCACCCAGCAGGTCAAGGACCTCATTTTGCTTGTACAACTCCCTGATTCTAGCTTCTGCAAGCCACATGCAACCGGATACGACAAAGCTTTTTGTACACATTTTAACCAGTTTGTACACGAAATCATGCACCGGTATGCGGATCGCGAGGTCCGGTTATGTTGTATGCATAACATATGCTGCACATCGGTAACCAACGATTTTCTTCCGGATGGCGAGGGATCCGGATAAACGAGGACCGGATAAGCGAGGTCTGACTGTACATCGTATAGCCCCAACATTCATTTCGAATGCTTATATAAGTACAAACAAATACAAGCGGGAATGTGACATTCACCCTCACGAGGAAGGCGGAGGGCTGGCCTCAGAGGAAAGGTAGGTATTCATGGGTGGACCTTTACATGTAATAATGGAGCATTGTGCTGGTGAATTAGGACATCAACGTTGTGATTGCGACTGAATGCTACAATGCTGTCGTTGCCACCAAATGTGCCGTCCTTGGCAAGATTGTTCACTGCAACAAGAAGATCAGAGAGCAAAAAGCAGGGTGAACATATGTCAAAGGTTTACTCCGCACATGAACTACACTTCTACTCTGTTGTAACTAACTAGTACTTAAAAATTCATGTACAAGCAGAAATATTCCCCTGGAATTTAATTTCGTCTTTTTTCGTCCAAGGAGCTTTTGGACTAAATTAAATGCCGGACGAATGTCGACTTGTCCAGCTTTTCAATACACTCTTATGATCCACAGACGAAATTTACAACCAGATGAACTCCCTTTCTTTGGAGTTGGACGAAATTATTGACCGGCGAAATGTTCTGTCTGTACAGTAGTTGGGCAATCATGAGACAACTGAGCTTTGGAGAACTTCCAAGTCAGACTGATGAAAACAGACCTAGTGGCTGGAGTAATTTCTGTGATGAAAACGATGTGCTGGGTACGGCGCTAAGTGTGTACTTCAAAGTAGGATATCAAATCAACTGGAAGATACGAGTCAAAATCTGCTGGGTGCCAGCAAAACAAAACCCTACTCTCTACTTTATGCAGAGCACAGTAAAGCTAACAGTTCACTGGCCAAAAGTGAACAAGTCTTCAACTGAATCATATGCAGAGAGCAGACAACTTGGGATGCATGCCCTGCCCTACACATCGCATCTTACCATGGCGGTGGAACGGGACGTCGTCCTCCACAAACGGTTCAAAGTCGGGCCGGTGCTCAATCATGTACTGGACAGTTTCCTGCCTGTGTTGGCCGTGCCTTGCCATGTCGCCGTCCAATTGATCTGCCAGCGCGCGGAACAGACAATTCCTGAAGGTACCAGTGACAACAAAGTGCATTGACAACAAGGATGACACATCAACACCAGGGTATACTGATGGAGGTAGTGGCATTGACAACAAGGATGACACATCAACACCAGGGTATACTGATTCAAATAGCGGCATTGACAACAAGGATGACACATCAACACCAGGGTATACTGATGCAGGTAGCGGCATTGACAACAAGGATGACACATCAACACCAGGGTATACTGATGCAGGTAGCGGTATTGACAACAAGGATGACACATCAACACCAGGGTATACTGATGCAGGTAGCGGTATTGACAACAAGGATGACACATCAACACCAGGGTATACTGATGCAGGTAGCGGTATTGACAACAAGGATGACACATCAACACTACTGTATACATGAAGACACTATTCAATACTACAATAGAGGGCCCTATTTTTTTTCAATGCTGGCACATTTACGTCATCCAGCATGGTAGATGTCCATAAGCGAGGGTCCCTGGTTCGAGTCCTGGTGGTGACAGTCAACTTTTTTTCTTTAGACTTTTCCCGTTTGCAACTTTCCCTCAAACTGATGGATATTCGGTAGATGTGTTGGTTTTTTTCTACACCAAATGGTAGATTCTGCTTTCCTCTACCGGCTCTACCAGGTTTGAGGCTGGTAGAAGGCGGTAGAGGTACGGCATTTCTGTCCTTGTGGGACCATGAGAGCTGTTGCCCACAAAATATCATGTATCGTACTGTAAAATCGACGTTCTACCGAAACTCGTAGATCTGCGTTCGGAAACTATCATCTACTCTCCTTTCTTTTTCCAACATCCACTCTACTCTACTCCAAAAAACGAACGTAGCCTAAAGTGTACTACCGGTTTAAACCACCGTGACCCAGCAGAAACTGCAACAAGAACTGAGATATTCATCTTGAAACCATCAGTAAACTGACGTGGACAAGAACATTACCAAACTTGCACATGCACTTGATTACAGGACCAAGGGGTGGGGAGGGGCATGCACTTGATTACAGGACCAAGGGGTGGGGAGGGGGACTATTCAAGAGAGGGCCTTATTTTTTCATCGGCTCTCAGACAGGGGCTAAGTCTGTTCAAGAGAGGGATCTAATCGAGCGAGTAGGGTGCTCTGTTCACGACCTCAGGGTACAAACATATGTTTGCATGTTTATTGTACTGTAGGCACAAGTATGCATGTATGCACTTTTAATCACAAACATGCATACTTGTACACACGGTACATGCACTATTTTATAGTGGTGGGCACGGGTAGTCAGGTACCCGTGCCACCCGTGAAGACCTCGGGTAGACGGGTACAGAATTGAACACGAAAACCCGAAGTCGCAGATGACATCATGTACAGTGCACGTGTACAAATCAATTCATTTATCACTCTCTTAGTATTGACTCCCATTGATTTTCGCTATACCTAAGCAATCAAATATTCCTGCATATTTCACTCCTTAGGGCTATATTTAGGGATGTCAGCGAACGCACTGCGCAGGCCTCTGCGCATGCATTGCGTCATCGATTTTTTGAACGTGATCGCGGCCGACAGAGAAAACATGGCCGCGGTCTGTTTGCACCGCTGGGAGTCGTAAAATTACTGTTCTTCTGTCCCCGCGACCATTCAAATCATACGCGATACAGGAGGACCCACGAGCTCACCACGTTCTCCCCGGTCGATTTCTCTGAAAGTTTGCACATCGTGAAACACCAGTATGAGAGGTGTTCAGGCCAATTTTCAAGGGATTACCCTGGTTGGATCGTTCCAAAATCGGACTTGCATTTCTCGCTCGCGGCCATTTCTTGCGCGATGGAAGCGCTCTGCCCTGGTGAGTAACCAGCGTCGCGCTTGGTAGAGAGTTGCTGCAATCAGCTCCCTGATGTCTTCGCTGCGATTGTCAGAAGCGATGGACCATGAGTTTGTTGGAGAGTCTCTGGATGCTACTTTTCCTAAGCCTAGTTTTCAGCCATTCCGTGCATCTTCTTCGCACGATTTATTTTGCAAAAAAATGAAAGGGTTCATGAGTTTTCTTGTCGGCCGCGCGTAGATAGGCCAGCCTGACCTGCGCAGATGGGCTGCGCAGTGCGTTCGCTGATATCCCTACTCTATTGACTGCTTATATTTGACTGCTTATGGGTTGCGCAGTTGAACGGTGCCTAGTGTGGCATGGTCACTGCAGTGTATGAGTAGGTGATGGTGCACCGGTTGTGCAATCATAAAACCGGGATTCATGAGGTTAATACTCAGGTTATCGTTCTGGAATTTGAAATACGGACTGTTTGTCGTGATAAATCTAATATTGACTTCGTACTTGGTCAGTATAGGAAATAAAAACCTCGTAAAAGACCTCGGCCGAGGCGAAGCTTTTATTCCCTCTAATTATTGACCTCGTACTCAGTCAATAAGATACGTAATACTCATACAATGATTATGTAGGTCTACCCAGTCTGAGTGTGTTACTGTAAGGGCCTAGGGAAGGGTTGCATTGTGGTGTTACCATGGAAACATTACCCGATCGGGCACCCGTGCTACCCGTGGAAAACTACCCAAGCCTGATACCCGAAGAAAATGATACCCAACTCAGCCCTACTATTCTACCATCAATTCAATTTGAACTTTTGAAGTACCATGTTTTTATAGGGCTTGAAAGTGATGACGTCAAAAACGGCCAGGGAGTGCTAAGTTGACATCAGATTTCTATTTTGGATCCACTAAGGTGTGACTTTGCTATTGCCTCAGTATGTGGGTGCATAGCAACCCACTCATGTCGTATGCAGGGGTGACTTTTACTTCGCCACCAGTTGTAACCCTGCCCCCAGTAGCCAAATCAGTCAGTTTCACTGGTAACATCACCTTGCTGAGAGTAAGACGGCTTGAAATGTGCTTGGATCCATACAAAAACTGGATCCAAGTGGATCCAATTTTTGAATTTTTGAAATTGTTGCTATGCTGTGACGTAGCACTTTCAAGCCCTATTATCACAGAGACCAGCGCTGTTTCCAGGGATTATTTGCACCATGACAAAAAATATACTCTTGGTTTTGCTTCAGCTTGCCGGATACCATGCACACTACAGTCCATTTCAAAACTATAGACGCGTACCTAGGCAAAAACCGTTATGCCAGCATCTATACCACATAAAATCTGTGATCACTTTGTGCATAAATTTTTCCAAATTGGGCGTCTGTTATCCAATCCTTTAGAAACTATGAGAGTAATTGTGGAGCGATCCTGAGCAATATTCCGAAAACTATTCTCAAAAAGTTCCAGCCAAATTTGAAATATTTCAAAAACCCTACGCGTCTATAGTTTTGAAATGCACTGTACATCTGCACAATTTGCACTGCGTACTTACCCATCTCCCGGGACATCCTTGATTTTCAAGCCAATTGCCTGGAGCTGGTTAGCAAAGCTGATGAATTCAACATCGTCCTCTTCCAGGTAGTTTTCTCTCTTGCTTTGTCTCTCATGTTTCAAAGCTCGCTTTGCCGACCGCTCCTCGCGCTTATGTCCTACCTCCATGTGACGCTGACTTTTGGATTGTTTTTTCTTTGCCATTCTGATCAAAATTTGTCGGACAGCAGCTACTGCGGTATGTACGACGACAAGGCAATCCTGCTCTTCGGATGACACAGACTACAACACTACTCGAAACAGTGGATGTTTCTATTTACTAGCACTGCCTAATCAGTATGCCAGTTATCACGATAGAGTGGAAGACGAATGCTCAACTTGAAAAGAATACAATAAAATAGAACTGTTCCTCTAGCTCTCACAACAATTACATGAACAACAATAACAAGCAGATAGCAAGAGTACTCTTGCAGATAGCTGTACGTGTGTGTTTTGAAGATCAGCGAGAATCGGTAAAAACAGGCAACTGATCGGGCGCCCGCCGCCCGGCCGCCCGCCGCGCTAGCGCTAATACTATGATTGTCATGACGTCAGATGATAGGGAGGTTCTGCTCTACGTTTTGGGAACGCGACGCAAAGAATCACGCGAACTTTCTTCGCGTTCCCGTAACGTAAAGAAATGCTGTTCTGCTCTACGTTTCACCTAGAGAAGTCACGTGGAATGTGTACTGGGAATTTCCCCTTCCATATTTGGCAGTTTTCTGCATGCAGTTGATCGATACCCAGCAAATCCGTACGCATTTTCTCTGCGTGTGCCACAACGTAGAGAACGGATGATTTTGTTAAGAAAAATAATAAGGCACCCATTTTGATCCAGGGGATGGCCCACGCCTGGTAAAAAACGAAAAAGAAGTTAAGAGAATTGCAAAGCAGAGCTGGAGTGCAGCCGCCCAATAGCGGACTGAAAACTACTAGTAGTAGGATGAAAAGAGCACAGACGAAGCCAATACAGACAAAACCAGAGGCAAATGGTATCAAATGCGAATGCCCGCCTCAGCAACCGCCAAGGTGGGACCGCGTAGAAATCTGGAGCCAAAACACGCGAAGCCGTAGACTCTAACCCAGACACCTGCTCTCTACGTGATTTCTCTACGTTTCACGCAGAACCTCCCTGATGTCAAGGCACGTCACGCGTACGTCCACGTACCACGGTCCACGGCCGGCGCCATCATGATCTGCTATAAAAAAGTAAAATACGACGCGTGGCCACGTGGCGTGGGTATACCATGGCGGTAGTAGTCCTGCGGCCCAAATCTGAAAGACGTTGTTGCAAGTCCCGTTTCAGTCTCAAGCAGACAACCTGAGCTTTGCATGGGTGGAAAGACCATGTTCTAGGGATGTCGAAACGGCTTGTTGTCATGTCCAGAACTAGGGCATAAGCTGGGGAGAACCAATTTTAGGTTTCGTTACGGAAGTCGTTATTTTACGACTCCTTGATCGAAATTGGCAACATGTGATACGATATTTTATTGAAAATTAGTGCAGTCGATGTGAATTTGTTCTTGTGTTTGGATGATTTGTAGATCATGGTTGCCCTTTGCCGAGCGTTCATTTCCTATTGATGGTGATTAGAGATGGCACAGATTGATTTGTTGTAAAATTTGACCAAAACACCCCCAAACATGGATCTTTCGTATGAGAGGATTTCATTTATTGGGACACTATCTCGACAACACCAGCGGAAGAGAGCTAGCACGAGCGAAGCAAAGGACACCGGAAAACGGCAGAGTGATAGCGATCATAAGCTGATCTTAGCAAACGAGCGATATGGAAGATGTTGTAAATAATAGCGCAGTAGTGTATTTGTCATTTGCTGCAGAGTGGAAAAGTACAATTCAAATTCAAATCAATTCAAAAACTTCAATAGTGCGGTCCACCAGCCTTAGCTTTCAGACTCACTGTCCGATTCACAGTCGGACTTACAGTCCAATCCACTGTCGAAACTGCCTTCACCCTCATCATGGCATTGTGTGCATGCGCGCGCGTGCGCACACACACACGCGTACACACACCGCACAACACATGGCATTGTGCGCGCGCGCTCGCACACACACATACACAAACCCCACACGCACGCACACACACCGCACAACACATGGCATTGTGTGTGCGCGTCCGCGCGCGCGCGCACACACTCACACACCACATAGCACGCTAGAGATCAGCAAGAACCTGCTGCGACCGTGGTTGAGATGGCGCTGTAGAAGACACCGCAGCCGCCACTGGTTACCTCGCACCCGAGGTTGTAGTCAAAGCCGTACTAGCCGACACATCTGTACTGGAGGCTGATGTAGTACCCAAAGATGAAACTGATCCACTGGTGTTCACCTGACACGGCGGAGTAGCGGATCCTTTGAAGCCGAAATGAGTGGGCAACACGACATAGGCGGGGACAAGCCCAGCGGATATCGCAGCGGGCCTATCGTAACTCCTGGCAGTGAGCCTATCGTAATTCCTGGCAGTGGGCCCGTCGTAACTCCTGGCATTGGGCCCGTTCTCTTGCCGGACACTGGGGTGCGGAGTGGACGTGGACGCGGGCAGGAAATCTGCGGCGACCGGCTGGACTGGGATGGTTGGGGTCGGGCCAGGTGCGTTACTAGTATGACTGTTCGGCAATGACTGGGTATTACCGGCCATCGGACCGTTTCCAGACGACACAGACAAGTGGTTGCTCCGTGAAGAGTGCGCCTGTATACCCATGCCACTTACCATACATGTCAATTGCTGAAGGAAACACACAGTTCAAACACAAAACGTAAATGAAACACGCCAATGAAATTCGATCCTTAAACAAGTCAAGTTCGCATGTCCGCGTTATCACGGGCTATACAATTGTGTTTAGAAAACAACCAGTTTATAAGTCTGTCTCTTCTTGCATAAAGTCAGCCTAGAATACTGACGTCAGCTTTGGACATTACTCTGACTCGGACCACAAGTCCTGATTTATTCTGACCTACATGTGTATCGTGTGAAGTAGCGCGAGAGCCAAGCTGGTCATAATAATACGTGTAACAGCCACGAACGTAATTCAACCAAAGAAGACTACCACATTACATGAGCATGAACACTTGCATTCCATTTAATACATTCCTATGTTGTAGATGTCAGGCACTGAAGTGTTCACGTCTACATACACTTTGTGGCATTCCTTGGCCACCCAGACATTCATGATAGTAGCGCATCGTGAAATGAACTTAGCGGCTTTTAGTTGCTGTGCATGAGTCTGGACTCATGATCTGGTGTGTACATGCGATCATGTGATCTTGTAGTTGAGCGTATGTGTTATTTGGATTCCCTTGGTCATGACCAAACAATAAAACATGATCAAATTATTTCTACACATTCAACAATGCCAAGAACTCACCTGGTCCCCAAGTAGCTCATTATCTTCTTTTTCAGCATGAAAGTTGGATACTAAGGCGGAGTGTGATGGTCGGCCAAGCTGGTGCCGTTTGCAGTTATTGTACTTATCCGTGAGAAGCTTCATGGGCAAGGCCCTTGCAGACTTCAACTCGGACTGTATATACAGCACCAGGCTGTCAAATGTTTCGTAGGCCGACGGCTGGTCACTCCCTTTGCCACTTCGTTGCCGGTGCATAGTGGCCAGGTGGGTGAAGGCACTGTAGCATGCTCCGACGTTGATAGTGGATTTCCGCTGCAACGCAATCTGGGCCATTCTGGAGCGAAAGCCAAAATTCTTGCGTTGTTCTCCAACTCTGCTAGATGCACATGTCATGAGGCACAAGTCTGCAGATGTGGATTCAATCATTGTACATCTCTCCTTGTTCTACGCTTTGCTGGTACATGGTGTCCCATCATCACATACATGTATCTCCTCCAATTCAGAATGGCTTGAAAAGTCATGGCCACGTCCAAGTGGCAGCCGTCCCAGCAACGTTTTGTTAGTGTATGTACTGTAGCACTTGCGGTGGTACCATCCACGGACGCTCTCCTCGGTGCAGTGGCTCTCGCACAAGAAGGTATAGCTCGTCCTGCCTGCATTTAGCTGCTTCAAACAAAGTTTCCCAACTCTGCAAAGTAAATCGGGTTTGCTTTTCCTGCGATGCATTGTCATTGAACGCAATGGCACAAGCAAAATTCCCGCGATACAACGCCATTCCCAGGACGAGGCCTAAGAAGCTCCACGGCCTCTTCCTCCATCATGTCAAAAGGTGTCTACCATGCTGTGAGCGGTGGGCAGGAGGCACTCAAACAGCGCGAAACGCAACTACTATGCAACTACCAAACGAAAAATGCAATTCTACATTTCAAAGAGTATCCTGTCGGTGTCGTCGTCATCTTCAAAAATTTGAAAAAGGCGCTCCTTTCCGTGAACTGTGCACCCCCAGATGGTGCGCAGTATCGCCGACGAGAGCGGAGAAACTGGCTTCTCCTGAGCTTCTGCCCTAACTCTGAAGATGACAACAAGCGGAATCCAGGTCAGGTATACATACTTTAGGCCGTAGTGAAGAACCCAGGTTGTCTGCTTGAGACTGAAACGGAATTTTTTTTGAAGTTTGGGCCGCTGGACTATAGGTCTACGCGGCATATGCATGGCGCCGCCTACAAACAGCAAGTGTATTATAATTAATAGGGAGGTTATGTACTCCTGCTACAAATAAAAGGCTACATCATCATACCAAGAGTTTATAACCTCCGGGGGGGGGGGGGGGGGGGTTATATGCTCTTGATCATACATGCAGCTGACACCAGCTAATTATTTTAACAGTAGGGAGGTTTCGCTCTACGTAATTACGTATGAAAATCCGTATGTCGTACGCGCCGGGGAGCGAGGGCAACTTTCATACGTAAATCTCTCTACGGATTTCCGTAGGAAAGCTCTTTCCTACGTTGGGTCCTCCGTAGGACTTTTTGAAATATTTTTTCGCATTTTCCGCATTTGTCCATGGCAACATTCAAGCCGCGCGAAACACAAGGTACACACACCGTACCACGTGCATAATATCATGGAAAACGCGGTTTCGGTTCATGGTGCATACGCGTACGGTGGGCGCATGCAGCCAACGCGTCTTCAAAGCAACAACGCATGTTTAGCAGTCGTGGAGAAATCACGTAGAGCGAAACCCAACAGCTCTGATTTTTACGTATGAAGATTCCGTGCAGTTCATACGTTATTTTCATACGTAATTCCGTAGAGCGAAACCTCCCTAGTAGGGAGGTTCTGCTCTACGTTTTGGGAACGCGACGCAAAGAATCACGCGAACTTTCTTCGCGTTCCCGTAACGTAAAAAAATCCTGTTCTGCTCTACGTTTCACCTGGAGAAGTCACGTGGAATGTGTACTGGGAATTTCCCCTTCCATATTTGGCAGTTTTCTGCATGCAGTTGATCGATACCCAGCAAATCCGTACGCATTTTCTCCGCGTGTGCCACAACGTAGAGAACCCCATCTCCGCGTAGAAATCTGGAGCCAAAACACGCGAAGCCGCAGACTCTAACCCAGACACCTGCTCTCTACGTGATTTCTCTACGTTTCACGTATAGCAGAACCTCCCTAGTAGGGAGGTTCTGCTCTACGTTTTGGGAACGCGACGCAAAGAATCACGCGAACTTTCTTCGCGTTCCCGTAACGTAAAGAAATCCTGTTCTGCTCTACGTTTCACCTAGAGAAGTCACGTGGAATGTGTACTGGGAATTTCCCCTTCCATATTTGGCAGTTTTCTGCATGCAGTTGATCGATACCCAGCAAATCCGTACGCATTTTATCTGCGTGTGCCACAACGTAGAGAACTTTTTTTTTTTTTTTTTTTTTTTTTTCTCGAAAAATCAGTACAATTCAGTGAGCATGTCATGAAAATAAACCCGAGAAGAAAGAAAAAGGCCCAACCCTGCCCTGCCAGTTATTTGGACTTACGGGGGTCGCCATGGCAAATAATAAACATAAAACTGCACACGAGAACCCCATCTCCGCGTAGAAATCTGGAGCCAAAACACGCGAAGCCGCAGACTCTAACCCAGACACCTGCTCTCTACGTGATTTCTCTACGTTTCACGTATAGCAGAACCTCCCTAATAGGGAGGTTCTGCTCTACGTTTTGGGAACGCGACGCAAAGAATCACGCGAACTTTCTTCGCGTTCCCGTAACGTAAAGAAATGCTGTTCTGCTCTACGTTTCACCTAGAGAAGTCACGTGGAATGTGTACTGGGAATTTCCCCTTCCATATTTGGCAGTTTTCTGCATGCAGTTGATCGATACCCAGCAAATCCGTACGCATTTTCTCTGCGTGTGCCACAACGTAGAGAACCCCATCTCCGCGTAGAAATCTGGAGCCAAAACACGCGAAGCCGTAGACTCTAACCCAGACACCTGCTCTCTACGTGATTTCTCTACGTTTCACGTATAGCAGAACCTCCCTAATAGGGAGGTTCTGCTCTACGTTTTGGGAACGCGACGCAAAGAATCACGCGAACTTTCTTCGCGTTCCCGTAACGTAAAGAAATGCTGTTCTGCTCTACGTTTCACCTAGAGAAGTCACGTGGAATGTGTACTGGGAATTTCCCCTTCCATATTTGGCAGTTTTCTGCATGCAGTTGATCGATACCCAGCAAATCCGTACGCATTTTCTCTGCGTGTGCCACAACGTAGAGAACCTCATCTCCGCGTAGAAATCTGGAGCCAAAACACGCGAAGCCGTAGACTCTAACCCAGACACCTGCTCTCTACGTGATTTCTCTACGTTTCACGTATAGCAGAACCTCCCTATTATCTATCCCTCCTGACGTGGCCCATGACGTGAGCACCGAACCTTCGCTAGCGCGCTGCAACCAATCACCGGTGAGACCCTGCGCACAGCGATCACAGCCGACGGCTCTCGCCTGGACGTGGCAGAATCCGGCATATTATGGGGTGGGCGTTTCGAGAAGACGTTCCTAGACATCCTCCTGCACGGTCCGACCGCCAGCAGTCACTTCCAGCTATATACCGAAAACACGAAGCTGAGAAGAGGCGCTCGTATGAGGAGCGAATCCGGGGGGGGTCCGTCGAACTATGCACAGTGAAGGGATAATTGTATGTACATGACCAAGGATAGGGTATACTGGACAAAGTTGCCATTTTTGGGAGCAACGGATTAGGAAGTATAACAGTACTGCAGTATTGTGGTAATGAGTGCAAAATCATAAGAATTAGTTATAGAGGTTAAGGAAGCATTTGACAGCCTTATTATTATCAAATCAAATTTTTGATAGGGCAATCCCCACAGGCCTAAGGCCTTCTTACAGGGTACCCTAGAAATGAAAGTAGTGAATTACGGAATAGGTGCAGAGAAGAGCATAAGCGGACTGCAGCGGGGAGTGCATTCCAACGGTCGGAACCGATGAAAGAAACTGAAAAGAGACCGAAACGAGTTTTAGCTTTTGGTAGAGTGACAGACGAAGATACCTGGAAGCCTTGATCTAATTCCCGGCCCCTCTGCCCTGCCAAAAACCCAGCCGGTGGTAGTAGGAGGGCCCGAACGTGCGCATTTTTATTTTTACATGTATTATTTGCCATGGTGACCCGCGTAAGTCCACATAACAGACAACGGAGACTGAGATTAGAAGAGTAAACTGTGTTGCCAAGAGTATAATTATAATACTCTTGATGTTACGTTGCTGTGGTCTGTTTACTACACCGTATGATCTCTAAGGGGCCGTCCGTAAATATCGAACTTTTTTCACCAAACGAATTATTTTAGTTTAGACCCAACCCCTCCCTCCCTCCCCCTCAGAACGTAAAAAAATGTTGAGATATACATGCGTAGACAACAAAAGTCGCAAGTGTGTCACTGCTCCTACGGCCATGTACATGTATCGAAGTTTTCTGAAACGAAATTGGTCAACCCCCTCCCACCCCATAACGAAATTATTTCGTTTCGTGAAAAAAGTTCGATAATTATGGACGACCCCTAACGAGCGGCTTCAAACACAGTAACTCATTTGGCTTTTTCATGAGCGATGCACTCAGAGAAAAAATGGGCAAATAAAGAGAGGTTGGAAAAGATAAGAATTCTAAAAGCATCTCTCACTCTCAGAATGGCCGGGATAATTTCAGCCCGCATCTTTCTCCATTATAGTTAGAATTGTTATGCACAAGTACAGTCAACTACTACTCGTTGCCAGCAACAAGGGATAAAGTCAAATTCATGAACAAAATGCAAATCACACTGTGAAGATGAAGGGATTTGAAAAGTGGCTGTCCGCGGCTGTGGCGGGGGCGAGTATCCACAGTTCATGCTTCATGCTTGCAGCAATTCAAAAACAACCGAGAACAAATCGCTAGATAGCTTCAGGGCAGTGACTTCCCTGCGCGCTTCCATCAACAGGCTGGGGAAGTTCTCTAGCTCCTTGTGAATCGACGCTGGATCGTAGGTAATTCGCATCCCAGTCTCACCAGCAGACAGTAAGGAGTAGTAGTTTTGCTGATGGACAGTAGCATGCCCCCACTGATCATCCAGCAGCTGCTTGGCATCAATTAAACGCCGCACCTGACCCACGAAGTTGCTCTGGAGATGTGGGGATGGAAGCTTATCAATCAGGGTAGCTCGCACCATGTGCGGTTTATTGGCTGCTAGTGCGGTCGAGTAGACGTGCAGGGCAAGGTGACTTCCATCGTAGGCGAAGCAGCCCGCCGCAGCATTGCACGGTGTGTCATACATGATTGACGTCAGTGACATACCGTCTACGGTAACGGCTGATGCCGGCCAAGTGCCACGGAACTCCACTTCATACGCTCGCTGTGTAAGCATGCCTGTGAAGGTTCCATTGGCAGCGGAAATGGCAAGGTTGACAGTGCTAGCGGCGGCAATGGAGTCTGAAGAGTACGTGAAGGTAGTGACCGCACCAGATCCTGTCTTATATGCATTACTGAATCCGTCATCTTCATACACCTGCCCGGTTCCAATGCTCCCCGCTCCACCAGCAACAAATACCATCACCTTCAAGGTACTGGGCAGATTCTTAGCAGAGCCAACATCGACATCGTCACGCGTGCGAAGAGGCACAACTGTTCCGGCTGCAGCAAAGAGAGGCATTTCAGATAACGTGTAGTTTCGCTTCAGGACGCATGGTGTGGCAAACACCTCGCCGCTATGCCAGCTTACAAAGTCCTGGCCTGCTGGCAGCCACACAGCCTTGGCAGTGCTATTGTAGGTTGGATTCATGGCTGCAGTGATCGGTGACACCAGCAAGTGGTCTCCAAACATGTATTGCGTGCTGAAGTTGTAGGCTTCATCAGCTTCGGGAAAGTCATAGTACATGGGCCTAAGCATGCTCACACCACTATCATGGGCATGCTTGGCGCATGTGTACAGGTAGGGAACAAGCGAGGCGCGCACGGCCATGTAGCGCCGCATGATCGAGTAGTAGCTGAACGGGTACAGCCAGATGCGGCGGAAGTTGTCCGCGTTCTTCGTGCAGTGCGTGCGGAAGATGGGCGAGAACGCTCCCCACTGTATCCAGCGAGTGTACAGTTCCGGTGGCGATGGTGTGATGTGGCCGCCCAAGTCATGACTCCAGAAACCGTACGCCACATTGCTAGCAGTGATAGTGAAATACACCTGGAAGTCCAGCGATTGCCAGAGCGGAACAACATCGCCTGAAAAGCCCGCCTGTGTTAAAACACATAGCAGCAAAAAATAGAAGAAAAAATACAATCAGTGTGCTAACCACACCACATGATATGCATGTCTGTAGCTATTGCAGGCGCGTAGCACCGCCGTCGGAGGTGGTCCGGTTGGAGGGGGTCTGGGGATGTCCACCCGGGAAATTTTGAAACTAGGGTGCAAAATCCTGCATTCTGGACACTTCTGGGCGAACCAGAAGTCCGGCCGGACCAGCTGCTACGCCCTTGTATAATTGTAGTTGCTACATGTAGTACAATGTACTCACACAATGTGCAATGACCCAATAGTGGCATCTACTGCCGAATGTACCTGTACTCCTGGTGCAGACATGGACTTCACACATGTACTTCAAGTACACAATGCTAAACTTTGTTCGGCCCTATCAGCAACTGTGGAGACCGGGTGAGATTCTCCGGCACTTGCAAATGAAAAATACACGAGTGTGAGCCTCCAAAGACATACTACAGTGCCCTTACCTGGTAGCGATGGTTTCCTAGACCTCCCCAGCGATGAAGCAGCATGCCTCTTCTATCTACTCCGCCACGTTGCCAGTGCATAGGATTAGTGAAGAAGATGTAGTTGAGCCAGAATGTTGGGTTGACACCCGGCACCTTAATCCAATCTTCACCCTGCTGCCAGTCAAGCCACCAGAAATCAATGCCTTCCTGTTCGCGCTCGCCGAGAACTATTTCATTCCAGTTCTTGACGAACTTCTTGTCTGTTGGCACAAATGGTACGTAGTGGTTTGTTGATGGGTCGATACCCATGGCCTCTGCCATCTCCTTGTAGCGTTCCTCCCAGGGCTGAATGCCCGAGGCCGGATGGAGGTTCAGAGTGTTCTTCAGCCCGCGCGCCTTGCACCAGTTCAGAAAGCCGGTGGCATTCGGGAATAGGTGCTTGTCCCAGGTGAAGCCAGTCCAGCCCATCTGCTCCCCGGCCTGGTCATGCGTGCCGTTGTACATGGTGATGTGCCAGTCCATGTCCGTCACCAGGACGTCCAATGGCAGCCGGTGGCCCTGGTACTGCTTCACGATCTCCATCTCCTCAATGTCGTCGTACGCCCAGTAGCGCGAATAGAACACGCCAAACGCAAAACGAGGCGGCAGTGGGACTTGGCCAGAGATCATGGTAAACTCTTTTAGCGCCAGCTTGTAGTTGCGGCCGTGTCCGAAGAAATACAGGTCCTGCTGAGCTTGGGTGGAAAAGAAACAGTCCGGAACGCCATTGCCATGACTTGGCTGTCCGTCGTCACTGCCCACGTAGCAACAGCCTTTGCCCTCGCAGTCTAGTCTGCTGATTCCTATGTAGCCGCAGTCGCGGCGCTTCTCGCCAGCGATGTTGCACTGGTCCAATGGCGGCCCTGGGATGCCAGGCTGCCTCAACCACTGCCACGCAGTGTCATTGTCGAACTTCGGGCTACCGGTGTCGTCCACCACAACATACCCGTCCCGGGACACGAGCCCCAGCGTGCAGTGCAGGTCAGCACGTGGATTAGTCAGGCAGTTCAGGTCCATGTTCTCCGCGCCACGATTTCCATCCAGCGTGCGTGCTGTGCCCAGCAGATTTCCCTGTAAGGTGATGTTGGCCGTGGGAATGGGCCGCCAAATCACTGTGTCGCCACCAACGTTCAACACTGACACCTGAAACAAGACGAAGAGTAAACATTGAGTCATTGTACAATAGTATGACCCCTCGCAGTCACACACAAGCTTGGCAATCGAGACTATGCAATTATGGACATTGGAGCAGTGGGGTCTTTGTAAGGTTACTGGAGGCGACACTACATGTGGACAAGGCAAGCTGCATCAGGTCCCCCTCCCCGCAACACGGCACACTCCGGTAAAGGTACTATAGGACATGCACACTGCTGGTGCATGCGCACTGTCACGCAACGAGCGGTGGACAAAGTGAAAGGACTTCTTGCATGTGATTTGTTGTACTTTGTGACAGTCGAATTGTCTCAGTGTTACTAGTTTATCGTTAGCTTACTAGTTTGCTGTTTGAATCTGCGTTTGGTTTATTTATTGTTTATCTGACACGTCTTTTCTGTGTCTTTTGTTTGGTTGACGTCATGAGGTCCCATGGCTACGCGGACTGTACTCAGTCGCGGATCCTTTTGCAGAGCTGGCTACTTTTTCGGTTGCTTTTGGATTCCTTATTTGATGCATGTAGATAAGTGTAGCTTAGTACTAGTACATTGGCGTCGATTGCGCTGCTGTGGGTGCTTTGTAGGCGCACGTGTATGTGCACGTTCTGCTGAGGAGAGCGTTTTGGCTTTCGCTTGCGCTACTTGTTTCTTCGATATTTTCCTTTTCTAGTTAGTTGTTGTTCCTTCCGTGATGGACGGATAGCTTTCTTTCTCTCTTGTTTCACCTGTATCATATTGTTCCTGTATCCTGTAAATATCCCAAACTGAGTTGTGTGAGCTTGTTGTCGGTTGGATCAAACGCACGGTATTGTCCGCAGCATGTAGCGCACGGTGTGCATGCAGTGTGACCCACGGCAGCGTGCCAGCTGGTGCAGTGTGTGTGTGTGTGTGTGTGTGTGTGTGTGTGTGTGTGTGTGTGTGTGTGTGTGTGTGTTCTGCGGTTGCAGAACACACGTACCTGGCTCAACACAAATGCAAGAAGTAACTCTGCCCTCCTTGCCTCTTTGGGGCACTGCATCACCTTTAGGTGGCAGTTTCAAGGTGTGTGTGTGTGTGTGTGTGTGTGTGTGTGCGCGCGTGTGCAGCATGCACTCTGCGGTGTACATACTCTGCATACCATGTGTGGTTGCTTCACTGAGGCAATTTTGACCGGGGTGCGTGGCGAAAACCTGTGCCTGAAGCGGCAAATTCTGAACTAATTAGAGTATGAGAAACGGTCATGGTGCGGGCGGCTAGGCTACAAAGTATAACATCGCTTGTGGTGCTGCACACGGTGACTAACGTATAACTCTCCTTCAGCATCATGTGACATTTTCCAATGAACTACAGTTTCGGGCCAAACCCCAACCCCCCACTCCCCCCCGCACGCACAGACCACCACCACTGAATCATGAATAGCCATCGCATCACGGATTTACCTGTAAGTTGTACTCATTGAACGTTGTCCCAGTATTCAGTTTGTACCTCAGCTCCAGATTCTTCGTTGTTATCTTCAACTCACCGCCGGTAACAGCGGATTCGAAGCTTGGAACGGGTAGCCTTCTGTTGAGAGCCACAAACGTGGGATCGTCGTGCGTTTGCCCATTCTGCATGCGAATGATGGAGTCGGTCAGCACGGTGAATCGAGCAGTTCCCTGCGTCACAACTGCCTTGGGATCTGGGGTTGGGTCCAACGCTGCGCCTGCTGCTACTACAGCGATATGGACGGCTACTAGAGCGCAGGCAACAGGAGCTACACCGTACATCCTCGCCCAGGCTACCTACTCGTGACTTATACTAGTTATAGCTAGCTGTACACGACTCGTAGATCTACACGTATGTGTGGAAACACTGCCAGCTACAAGCAATAACAACTATTATTATTATCGACTGCAAAACAGCTACTATTGTATTGAGGATTGTACTGGACTGGAGATACGCACTTTCACAAACGATATCTATCATCAAAACTAAAACATGTTCTACATGACATTGATTTCACAAGTCACAACATTCTAAAATAGATGAGCAAACCGCCAAACGAGCATCATGATGAAGTCCTTTTCTGGATGATTGGAGTCGAAAACGCGTTTTCGACTCCAATCGTACAGTCATGTACAATTATGTACTACATGACTTGTATACATGTACATGTACCGTAGTACCGAATTGCGATTTTGCGAACATATGTTACACAAAGCCTGAGGTCCTTGCTGTAACTTTCGTATAATCCGCGTTATTGGGGGATGGTCGGAGGAGTGCTGTACGAAGTAGCGACCTCTGCCATGCCAAGCCAAACCGTGACAAAAGAAAAACGCAATAAACGAGCAATAAACGAGCGCCGCATATGCAAACCTACACTGCACAAAATTAATAAAACATGTCACGCACATGTATATGTGTGCACGCTGCATGCACGCAGTAAAGCCTGCATGATCAAGACCAGGGAGCTGCGGAGTCGTATAGGTCTATACGACTCCCTGATCAAGACGATGCAGTGTTTGTGTTCTGTTGTCTTCTTCGCAAAAAAGCTTCTGTGAATCCCGCTTTACAACAGTACAGTCATGTATTTTAGGGTGCGTTCTTAAGGGGGGACGGGAGGTTCAGAGGGTCAAAAAATGAATTTCTGAGTTTTGAACTTTTTGCTATGGAATCTTGTCTTAGGATATTTGAAGCGCCAGAATTTCAAATTTGAGCGTAATCGGTTTAGTAGAAGTGGAGTTATGAGCTAAAGTATGTCGAGATAAATTTCAAATGTACATACTCAAATGTTTACAATTGCCTAATTTTGTGACTTTGGTTTAGTCCAAAATCAAGCGTTTTTGATTCAACTTCGCCAGGTAAGCGACCCTGGCTTCTGTTTTTGTAGTCATGGAGAGCTGCCACGTGCTTCCTTGATCGCGTATGACGTTCTGCAGCGCCACGACGCCCACGCGAAGGAAAAAATCTTTGTTTTTTTGTTTGTGATCGTGAAAGTGAACAATTAAATTATTTTACATGGGGAACCGAAAGAGAAGCACCAGCAGCTCTGGAAGTGGCCATAGGAGGAAGAAAGGGAGATACTACGCCCCAAAGCAGTCAAGCTCTGTACCAGTTGTGGAAGAAGGCACCGTTGAAGCGGCGCAGAGCGCTTCCTCTCGGAAGATTTCGTCGAGGCCAAAATGGCTTAGTGATAATTATGGTCATGGAATTTGAATCTGAGCTTGTGTGCTCGAGTGACAGTGATTCAGACGAGTCGTCCAGTGATAGCTGCCAGGAGTATGATGATGATGCATTCTATCCTGATGTTGAGGAGTCTGTCTCTGGCTACAAGATCGTGGATTTACAGTGTCTCCAGGAACTGATGGATCAATTTACTGTCTGTAGGAAGTGCACGAAGGGAGACATGATCGTCAGTAACTGTCATGACACTGGACTTGGATCGACCCTGCGACTTCAATGCGCTTTGTGTGGACACAGTGGAAGTACGTCTCTGAGCAAGAAAATTTGCAGGAGCTATGATCTGAATTGACGATCTGTACTGGCGATGCGATGCATTGGACGTGGCCATGGTGGACTCCGAAAGTTTTGCGGCGTAATGAATTTTCCTGCTCCTGTAACGGAGAAAGCGTACCGCAGCCACCAGGAAGTTGTCCTTGCTGCAGCCGTAAAGCTAGCTGAAACTGACATGGTTCAATCCGCAGCTGAGTTGCGTGCCATGACAGATTCCACCCACGTCGCAGTGACGTTCGACGGCACTTGGATGCGCAGGGGATATTCGTCGCTGTATGGTGTGTTCGCGTGCATCTCCTTCCAGAGCGGCCGTGTACTGGACATCACAGTGAAGGGTCGATACTGTCACGAATGTAAGATCTGGACTGAGAAGAAGCGAAGTGGTGCAATCACGGAGGAAGCCTTTTCAACCTGGCTGGATAATCACAAGTGCAGCATAAACACAGCGGCATCTGCACCCGGTATGGAGAGTGAAGCTGCGTGCGATATTTGGCAGCGGTCTGTGGGCACACGCGGAGGCCTCATAAGAACCCTCTCCCAAAGGCTGTGTTCGAAGTCGTGAAGCCCATCTACATGCAGCTGTCCGAACGAAGTCTGCTGGAGCGCTGCCAGATGGGTGCAACGCAGAATGCGAACGAGTCGTTCAACAACGTCATTTGGAGAATGCGTCCGAAGGAAGGCTTCTGCTCCGTCGACACCGTTCAGCTGGCAAGTAGTTTGGCAGTGCTCAACTTCAACAACGGCGCTATCACCTTGCTCAGTGTGCTGAAAGAGTGTGGATGCATTGATGGCAATCACACGAAGGCAGCGCTTGAGCTAGAAGACCAATGGCGTGTGAAGAAGTCCCTCCGCAAGTCATCAGCACTGGAAAAGGAGAGCAGGAAAAGGAGAAGGAGGCAGAGGAAAGGCTGGGAGGAGACCACTATTGAGAAAGAGGGCACTACATATGACAAAGGTGGTTTCTGAATGGCAACTTCAGGTCAGATATGTGAAAATATTTCAGTAGCACTCCACTATCAGTCCTTTTTATGTAATTTTTAGGTGCATTTTTCACTGATTTTAGGGGTATTATGGGCACTCCGCGCAGTTTTTTAGAAATGCTGTACATATCTTGTATGTAAAAGTATATATTTTCTGGTTCTGTACGGTCCATTCTAGATCCGTTGCCTTCTTAGGACACAAGATCTTCTGTTAGAAACAAAATAATGGACCTTGAACTTCAGTCAAGTTATCTTGCGCACGTGCATTGTTATTTCAAGGCTGCAGTGGCACACCATGGGAACTGTAATCGCATTGTGCTTAGGCAACAGCCCTAGCCCCTTGGTACCTGATCATTTTGCAGTGTTATGTGTTTATCTTCAAGTGACCGTGTTTGAGAAAAACTGCGCAGAAATCATGCCCGGCTATCGCATTTTTTCCAAAATTGCTTTCCTGCATTTCTCCATGATACCAGTATACTTTCCACAGTTCTTGGTTGCAATGTCGTCAGTGGATGTCAAGGAACATATACTGAAAATTTGAAGGAATTCTGATGTTTGAGTGCTGAGATTCAAGCGAATTTATAACGGGCACTGCAATATGGCCAGCGAACCTCCCGTCCCCCCTTAAATTCTCTAGCTTCTAGGAGAAGAAGAAAAGAGAAGTCGAAGAAACTTGGATTCTTCAAGAACGGGTCTCGAAGAATTCGGAGATATTTTGCAGATGTCAAGCAAAATGAAGCGCCAAATTAAGGGGCCGCGATCTTGAGTGCCACGAATATAGTATGCGCTGTGCGTATGTGAAAAGGGAAATGCGTACACTCATGATCAACACGTGGCTTTTAGCCTAGTTCGCATGCGCTGACCCCAAACCGCGGGAATCTCCAAGTTTCAACCACCTCTGAAGCTTGGAGAGCTTGGAGAGCTTTGGAGAGCCTCCTAAAATTCGGAGAGGATATAAGAACAGCTCTCGAACTTTTCGGAGAGTCTCCAACTTTTCCGAGAGGATTTAAGAACGCACCCTTAGTCTTTGTAGTGCTAGCATGCTGTACGGTGTAGATCTACGGTGTACAATGTCATGCACATGTAGTTGAACTTCGAGTTTAGGCCAAGTAAAAAAAAAAGCTAGATGATCGTCCCCGTCCGCGATCCGCCCCAGTTTTTGTCAGCGCCCCAAGAAATATTTTATTTTTTAAATCGTGAGTTTTACTATATGGACCACATACTACTATACTATACTAGTATATCACAACGTCAGTATCGATCTGCTGAAGAAAGAAAAAGAAAAAAAGAAAAAAAAAGAAAAAAAGAGAAAAAAAACCTTGATGTTGTTGTGTACATGTACACTGTGTGCATGAGAGGGTAAAAAGTAAAAAAATAAAAATAAAATCCTCCCGCCCTCCCCGATTTTTCCAAAAAAAAGGACGATCATCTAGTAATTTTTTTTACTCGGCCTTACTTTTGGCTTTTACTTACCACAAATAGCAGCTTCCCAACTCAAAACGCCGTTCCACCGGCACCCTTTCCCGATTTCAGTAGTAAAGGCCAGGAGGGTTTCATCCAACCATTACTGTTGTGTCAAGAACACAATTACTACTTCCCCCCTTTTACCTGTAGAGGTGTTTATGGACCCTGTGAAAATGAAACGAACCGTTCAAGTGGAGGCGTCTGATGCCCATGAGGAGTACAGAGTTTATCCTAGGCGGTGGCTGATTCTTCTGTCTGTCAGCCTACTCAATTTTTCCAATGCCGTTGTAAGTTATGAACATTGTGGCTGATTTATTGTTCATTTGAATAGTATCTGAATAGTATCTGAGTCGTGAAATCCCTACCACTTGCTAGCCCTCAAAGCCCCGCTGCGTGGCTGCACTTCGCATTTATTGCCACGTGAACACTACTACAGTACATGTATTTCACTGTGGAATAGAAGTTTGCGTTCAGGGATTATGCATGCAGCAAAACTGAAAAGTCTATCGTCAATAGAACTCAAATACGCCACAAATATTGCGTGACTCACCAGTAAAGTGATCGCAGGCGCATTGTGTTAGTTACGAGCAGGCTCTTTTCTGAGCCGCGCTATCGTTTATCCTAGCTCCAGGATCTGTGTGCACGCCACTAGCATGGGAGGTTTTGGAGCTGCATCTGATGCCTTGGTCCTTGAGAATGGTGGCGTACGGACAGATGCCGAGATGTTGAGCCGACGGACTTGAGCTGTGAAATTTTAAGTGTGTGGTGTGGTGCACACTTGTACAGGGCACGATCCAGCATGAGAATGAACATGTCGAGAATTTCTCGAAACAATCTCTCTCAGACTGAAGAACAGAACTAAGTTCAGGCTCCCCGCAAGCAACGTTGCCGAAAATTTCCACGATTAATTCCGTTGCCTTCTTTTCAGGTTGACACAGACCAAAGAAAATCTAACCAATACAATAGCTAATATCCAATTTGAAGGTGATGCACTGCAAGGCAGCTAATTTTATCGGATTTAACGAAAGGAGGGTTGTCGCTAAAGTTTAGTCTCGCCAATCGGAAGTGCATTCTACATACCGGTAGCATGCAACATACATGTGTCCCTTTCTGACATAAAACGCTGATCGTTAACAGTTTCCCTCGCAAACTCATGCTGGTTTATAAATCGCTAAAGTTTTGTACCTGCCAAAATTTGCCGTTTTCACAACTTTTTGGTAAGCTGCGGTAAGAGGCACAGCGAGAATAAACAGAAAGCGTTGATTCTCATGCAAAAAGGCGAGTAGAACGTGCGAGTCTATAATCATGCACAAGTGTTGTAAGTGTGAGGAGGTCAGCGTAGGTGTGATACATGTATTGTGATAACAATAGACAACAAATGCACAGAACTAACGATGTGCTGGTGTCCTACCTCTTCACGTTTGCAACACTTGTGCATGATAATAGTTTGCGTGTGCTACGTGTCACCTGAGTTATGATGTAGCTGTGCATGCTTACTTGGTAGAGGTTTCTGAAGCCCGTGCTGTTTCTTGTACTGTTAATGTTTCTATTCCTCCCTGTACAGAACTGGGTGAATTTTGCCCCCATCGCCAATCTAACATCGGGTTTCTTCAGCACCTCTCTCAGCAATGTTAACATGCTTGCAATCGTGTACATGATCGTTTCAATTCCAGTCGGTTTTGTTGTGTGCTGGCTACTGGACTCCATTGGTTTAGTTGGTGGGGTGAGTTGACATCCTCTTTGTGTATCCTTCACCTGTTCTTTCGGAACAAATGCTTTCAGATTGCATGCGCCTTGATGTTGTACATGTATTTGTGAATATGTTTCTTTGCTCGACCAGACCAGACTGTCCTGCTTTTTTTATTGGCCATTCACAACCGAGGTCCTGATCATATCCAGGCAGCCTTTGAGTATGGCACTTGGTAGTGATGTGACAAGCCATGATTTCCTTGCTGATTATTCATGCTCTTCATTTTGTTTGGTTTTCCTTGCTGTTCAGCTGTGGACGGGTGCTGCTTTGAACGCACTCGGGTCTGTGCTGCGTCTGATCGCCGCCATGCACGGTGAAAAGTTCTGGCTGCTAATGCTGGGCCAGAGCCTGTGTGGCATAGCGCAGCCGTTCGGTCTGTTCCCGCCGACCAAGGTTGCCGCCGTCTGGTTTGCGAATGATCAGCGCGCCCTGGCCAACATGCTGGCAAGCATGGGTAGGTGCTAGGTACTAAGTACTCAAGTAGCATCCTGCACAGCTGCTGTGGCTTGTCCATGCTGCGATTCACTAGGACATACAGGTGTGGCCAGCGAATCTGGACTCTTGAATGACGGGGAGCACGGGGCACCACACAGGTGTGGCCAGCGAATCTGGACTCTTGGATGACGGGGAGCACGTCACCTTTTAGCCCTACGTACACTGCCATGGTTGCATGAAGAATCCCAGCTCTGCACTCGAGTCTGAGTCCACGTTCCAAAACAGTCAGTAGTGGCAGTACTGTGTGCGCTTGCATTCTATTCCCAGTTAGGTTCTGCTCTACGCGAAAGAAATCACATAGAGAACAGGTGTCAAGTCTACGGCTTCGCCTGTTTGGGCTCCAAATCTCCACGCAGAAATGGGGTTCTGAAATTCCCAGTACACGCTCCACGTGATTTCTTTACGTGAACATAGAGCAGAGCAGGTTTACTATACGTCACGGGGACGCAACGGGTTTTCCCGGGACTCTTCGTGTTGCTTTCCGGTAAGCAGAACATCACTTATCATGTCCCTTATTGTTCAACTGTAATCTGAATTGTGAATTTTGTCACACGTGTATGGGCACTGATCTCTCTGCGTGCTGTCTATTTGATCTTCTGTTGCTGTCCTGCAGCCAACCCAGTGGGCATTGCCGTCGGTATGCTCATTCCACCGTTCATTGTGCACTCGCAGAATGTGGAAAGTGGAATGATCAAACTGGTTAGTACATGTAGCACATGATGTATGTCTCAACAGGGCTCCAGGCTGTCAGCTATATCCGATGTTGTTAGTGCACTGGCGGACACTCTGAATTTGTGAAGTTGAGCCTACCTCATCAGTCATGCCTGTTAAGTTCTGTTAAGTTCCAGCTGCCTGGAGGAAAACAATGCCGAATACATGAACCGCACTGGCTCAATCGCCTAGGTTTGATTGTAGATTGTAGATAATGTGTGTATGTATCGACAGTACTTCGAAGTAGTAACGTGTCTGTCATCTAGCCCAGTGTGTGGGTATGAGCCTGCACTCTGAGTCTCTCAGTTTCTAGTACGACTGCTATTGAGAGATGAATACTGGTAGATGCACATGTACATATAGTTGTCATGCATGTGCATAGCGTACACACTTTCCTATGGGTCCTTGACTCCGCGCACGACTGGATAACTAGTACGTGCTACTGTACATTGGCGGTAGCGAGCAGTCTCTTTTGAACTGGAGTAGAGTTCTGCGGCGTGTTGTTTGGTGGCTTTGTGCTGGCTGTCGTCGTTGTGGTTGTCATGCCTCGCTGTGACTGTGTGCGTGCTGTGCTGTTCTTGCTGCTCGTCCAGCTTTGGATTTGCGTCATCCCTGCCGGACTTAACGTACTCTGCACTCTGTCAGTCACGCGCAACACCCCACCAACGCCTCCATCGATGTCAGCCGAAGAGGAGTCAGAGCCATTTTGGCGCGGTCTGAAAAAGGTCAGTACATGCTGTTTCGTTGACTTACAAGATCCGCTGTACTGTTTTTTCTTCTTTGTCATAATGTTCATAAGGTTGAGGGAGTTGGAAATGGGGACAAACATCTTGTTTTTTATATGTATTAAAATGTATGTGCTCGTGCTACAGTGGCCATTACATGAATACTGCCACTGTTGTTTCCCTCCATAGCGTGTGAGTGCATCTACTGCGCAACCAAGAGTGCTCTTTGCTGGCCATGATGGCTGAATCTTGCCTGTCCTCAGCCATAGGCCCCGGGGGATGCATTCCAAGAGTAAACCAATCACTATGGCCGACGAAGAGCATGCTCGATTTGATGTCTTACGCGACGAGAAATTCCAAGGCCGGAAAGTCTGAAACTGTCTACCTCCCAAGGGAAATTCCCAAAGTGGTGTCAATCAGGTGTGATGAGTTGATAATGCACGCAGTGGGAAAGCCGGCTAGTAGCCATAGCCTAGTCGATGATAGCATGTCGTGTAAATGGTTGTACACTCTTTCAGAGTAGTACCACTTTTCAACGTTTTAGCAAGGTGGGATTCTCATGTTTACCCAAGGTGTCAAGAGCCGATGTAGCAACGGCCCTATCATGTTGTACACTGTGCCTAAGAACGCAGTACCAAAGGGCACGTACATAACTTGTGTCAGCCTCTCTTCGCATTGCACTGTGCTATGGTTTGGACAATGCAGCGCGGAAGTACTGCACAGTAAGATCGGGCGCCGAAGAACATTTAGGCTGGGAAATGGCACGGAGCTAAGAACAATCCAGGCTAGATTTAAAAACGCATGTACTGTTTTCTATCATGTTTTCACATGGCGTGGTCGCATTGTATGCTCTCCATGATTGCGGAATGAGAACAAAACGACTAACATTTGAACACTTTAGAACTAGGCTAGGCCACGCCTTGGGTCCCTGCTTTCTTCAGCATCCGATCTTACTGTTGTAGTCGATTACAGTACGTGATGTCACAATCATGTGTGGCTTCACGATGAGGTGTCCCTATCTTGCATCTATAGAAAGTTGCGTATTCTGTGCCATGTGGTTTTGTTACCTTGTGCGGTGAGTAGAGATGGACAGCACCCAGTGCTGTTGTATGCACGTTCATTTGAATTTGTGGTGTGTTTGTGTGTTCACGAAGAGAAGGGAGAGACAGGCAGAGAATTGACGGGTATTCCTTCGTCTTTTCTACCCCGATGTTTGCTTACAGTTGGTTCGCAACGGGCAGTATCGGTTCTTGCTGTTCGCTTGGGGCATCGGGCTTGGAGTTTTCAACGTTCTTGTCACGCTACTGCAGCAGTTTTTGTGTCCTTGGGGTTACGAAGATGTGAGTACTTATATGCTGGCATGCAACGGGAGAGAATAGTGGTTTGTACAGGATTCCTATGCCTGTTTTCTTGGTCTCTGCTGGTGAAGTTGTCCTGGACAGATATTTGTTTCTCTATAATTGAAAATCTCTGGAATCTTGCTCTTAAACGATCTGCCACCTATCTCCCTCTGCCATCAGAACAACTGCACGTGTAATAGTGTTTGTTTCGCCTGCTGTGTGATTCCTGTTGTGCTGTGTTTTGCAGCGTGTTGCCGGTGTTGCTGGCGGTGTAATGTGCTTGACTGGCCTGCTCGGCTCTGGCGTCACCAGTGTCTACGTGGACAAGACGAAGAAGTTTGTCCTTGCACTGAAGGTGTGCTATGTCGGTGCCGCGGTCGGCCTCACTTGGTTCGCCATGGTGAGTTACATGTATACTGTGCCGGCCAGTGGCAGTCAGTGCTCTCTGCTGTCTGTCATAGTAGTCAATCTTGCTCGTGCCCATGGTGGCTTGTAGTGTGCATGTGCTGTGCGTGATCAGTGTCAGTAGCTATCGCCGGTAACAAACCATCTACGATTGTTGTCTACTTGCCTGTTGTGCTTACTGATGCACTGCTGTTCTATTGGTTAAAATTGTTTTCCCTTAGGTATCCAGCCTCCGTGATCAGACCGCCCTCATATATGCATCACTTGCATTCTTTGGCTTCTTTGGCTATGGTCTCTTGCCCGTTGCTCTTGAACTGAGCGTGGAGTGCACATATCCAGTTGCGGAGGCTACTTCTGCTGGTGTTATGTGGCTTGCTGGGTGAGTTAGCGATACTGTTGAGTGTTGAAACACCCTTACATGTACCCTAGCCTACAGTCCATTCATTGGAAACTGGCACCCTAACTTTTTGGTGTCTCCTGCACATAGTTGTAGGTATCGTGAAAACAACAGTACATCCTGCATTTTGTGACCCATGCAATTACTCCTTGCCACATTTGTGGCCAGAAAAGTCCAAGAACAGGGAAATAGAAATTCAGCCAGGTTTTACAAAATTAGGACAGGTATGCCATGGCGAAATGTGTGGAGAAGCAGGTCCCAAACCCAGATTTTTGAGATTTAAAGTGGGTTTTTGATCCTGAATTCGGCCCAAATCGGACTTTCAAATGCCAGCAGGACTGTTTCCGATGAATGGACTGTATACACAGACTGGATCTTCATTTGATAACACAAGATTGTTCATCTCTGCCCAAGAAAACTTGCAAATGCTAATACTAGCGTGCATAGCCATTTTTTCCAGTCATGTTTACAAAGAGAGGTGGAGCAGTTCTAAGTCCCATCGTCATACCTGATGCGACTGTTAGGCAGCGAACCGATGTTTCTTTTCAATGAACCTTGCAAGCAGCCGGGGATACTCTGTGTATAGGGTACTTCTTTTCCGCTGCATTGGTCTGGCTGAAGGGTGCTACCAGTAGTCCTCGAGAGTACCATTACTGTTCCTCACACTGTAACGTGAACGGCAGGGCTAGGTCGAACGAGCCAGAGCACCTTTCAGCTATCCTTGCCTATTGTTGCAGCGTGCTGCTTCGTGATGTGCGCAACTTGTGCTGCGAGCTCCGATGTCATGCTCTTTCAAAACGTGCTTGTAGTTGTAATGCATGCATAGCACTCCTTGTAATGCATGCATAGCACTCCTTGTAATGCATGCATAGCACTCCTTTTGTGCATATACAGATAGTTGCTCCTACGTTTCTATATACCCGTGTATATGTATGAATGTTCACCCTTCCACCCTGGCACTGTGTGCTTTGTTTCTGTGTCGCAGCCAAGTCACCGGAATACTGCTGGTGATCATTGCTCAGCTGCCAATATTACAGTCTCCACTAACCAGTGAGGATGCAAAGTACTCCAAGTGTGCAATAGCTGGCAACTCCACGGCCTCCACTTCAGATGCTGCTGGAGTTGACATGACCAATGCAGCTTTGATGGTGGCTACAGTGGCAGTGGTAACCGTGGTGTTTTTTGTACCATGCTTCCGCTCTCCGTATCGACGAGTTGCCGCGGAGAGTGGTGTTAGCCTGGATGAGCCACTGGAGGCTCATTTCTGAGACCGCTAAATGTGACGATTTATCAGCTACGGTTATTATGGCACAGCCTGGCCAGGTATGTGACTGTCCTCACCTTCCTCTGTTTTTCTACCTATTCTTTCTCTTTCTATCGGACTTGAGATGGCGTTCACTGACCATAGCCGTCATCCTTCTGTCGTTTTAGTGTATGCCTCGCCATGGACAATGTACTTGATATGTGCAGCTCACAAGAAGCGAAATGCCTCGTGGGTCAAATCAACTTGGAACTTGCAACAGTTGCATTAGTATTCTCGGTGGTTCTAGGCACCGATTCAGTACCCATCGATACGCTGTTCTTGCGTGGAGTGGTTTCCCGCTATGCTTTGCTGGACGACATGTCAAGAGAGTGATGAAGGCCTGAGGAGATACTACCACTTATTTTTTTTCTCATACTCTCCAGCTGCAATTTACGAGTTAGGGACTGGTGTGCTCCAATTTTTAGACACTTTCATTCTAATTTTCTCTCCCGAGACGGTACTTGTACTTAAGTATCATCCTAACTATATTCCGGTTTGTAGCTTGAGGAGTTCAAGCACTTTGTCGGATTGTATTAAATCACCTCGTCAGTCGTTGAATTTACTTGAAGTATTCTTTATGAGTATTATTTCGAATTGTCGATGGTTGCTGGATGCACCTAGAACTTGTGATGCAGCACTAATTATTTATTGTTATCTCCGCTGCTTTTGAATTTGAACCCTTCAAAGTAATGAACCTTTTCTACTATTTTTTCTAGGATTATAGCTTTTGCTGTTTTCATGTAAGAGTGTGCCCCCCGGCATAGCATCTACATGATTTTACCTCCACATTACATGTACTACTCTTTCTGTTTCCCTCATTCCATTTACTTGAGTTTTTGCTGAAGTACTTTATTTGTTGAATCCGAGCCATTCAGAATCAGTTTACCCTGTACCTGCTATCACTATAGATTCCCAGTTGAACTTTATCTACTGGCGAATCCTTCCTGCTTGGCCCTGCCAGGGAGTTGTATGACTCCCCAGCATTGCCTATGCTTTTAAACGGGAAGAGGGTGGGGAGATAAATGTCTGCCTAAAAGAATCGTGAACTGCATGCACCATGAACATCTGCGTAAGAGAGTAATTTCGTGTGTGTGTGTGTGTGTACAATTGTGGTAACGACATGCAGTAGAAGTCATGTGTCGCTTTCTAGGTGGGAGCTTGCACTTTTCCTGCTGTCTTGACTGGACGGCAGGAAATGCAGGAGCTCCCAAGTCACACACACTTCTCTGCTGTCGCCGAATTCACCCATGTATTTGAGTTCAAGTTTTTTTTGGTCTACTATGAGTATCGTAATGAGAAGAAGGATAATGTCTGCGTACTCATAGAGCCGCAATACATCTTTTAGCCATAGAAGTGTTTCTACACTAATAAGCGGCGCGGAGAAAATAACTTTAATAATAAGGCAACAAGCAAAATCAGCGAATTCGAAGCTGACATTGGACGTAGTTTGTAGTCATGAACAAAAAAAATAAAAGAGGGATAATATCAAGAGTACAGTGCATAAACTCTATGGACTCTTGATAATAATTATAGTTTCCAAACACGTGTTTTGCTAGATTTCATTATTGAGACGTATTTCCCTGATGAATGTCTCTAGAAAACGTGTTCGGAAACTATATTATCCATCTTTTCTTTTTCTTTTTTGTTCATGACTACGGCCAATGTCTGCTCCCTAAGTCCCTGCAGATAGGTCTCATGTGGAGAGTAAGCCTTGTGTACAACAAATTCCAACCTTTTCCTCCACTACAATCTTCCATACCGTTCGCAGACGGTGCATTTCACGTAAAATCGGTGTACAACAGTAATCAGAGTTTGCTAACCCAGCAGAAATCGAAAGCCCACATGATAGCAGATCAACACCTTGACCTTCCACATTGCGTAGGCAATGCTACCGCATTGTCATGTCTCCAGTCCAGGATGGAATAATGACTGATGGCGTTTCAGGTCGTCGGAACACGTGGCCGCAGGCGTATCTGTAGCTCAGCAGGCACGACAGAATCGGTCCGGTCGGTCAGGTCATCACCGGACCAACTTTGTGGCCACCAACGCATGTTTACTGCTGAGGAGGACATACATGTATTTCCCCCGCCATATCAAACACGAAGTACGACTGTGAGGACTATGGTACGACCGGACCAATTGAAAACTGCTCCCGGCGGTCCTGAGCTGGCAGCAGAGCTAGAGGGTGCCTGTTCAATGCGGTCGGCGGGCAATGGCATGCCCACTCCCGTACGGTTCTTGTCGGTGATGATCTGGGCCACATCGCACCATCCACATGCTGGTACCGCGTACTGATGGCTCAACTGACCTAAAATCAACCACAACAATGTCCCTCCACCCGTCGCGTGGACAATGTGCCGGGCAGTTCACCGAACAGAACACACTTCAGCAACCAAAGATTCTTCATCCAAGCCAGCGCAACATCCGCTGCCGTGCCGTGAAGCCGATGTCCCCAGACACTCCTACCAGTCTAGTCCTAGGCTAGGGTCTTGGCAAGGGCCGAGGACGTTGCGTGCGTCTCCCATTGCTGATGTCCAGATAAACACGGGACCACTGCCTCTACATGTGCATTATACGACCACTGGGTAGACAAAGCTAACTGAGCTCCCCCCCCCCCCCCCCCCCACACACACACAGGAATTAAAGCGGCACAACTCCAACTCAAAAGTGTTTTCCTTGCAAAAGGACACAAAGATCCATTTAAGTCCATGGCATGGCAATGTACCATGTACAAGTTCAGTTGCCTGCATGTGACGAAAGCTACTATGACCTGGTAGCATGGTAGATATAGCAAAAGCAGAGCAGAGTCAACAGAAACAGCAAGACAACACTGGAACACAACACAGGACAATGGCAATAGGCAGGCGACATGGTCAGCAGCTGCACATGGACATGAGGCTGTCAGAGGAGCTAGACGGTACCAGGCGGTAACAGGCAATGTTATAATAACATTATTGAAATAATTCACAAATGCACTTCTTACAGTGCTCTCCCACTGCCCAGCGACGACATGAAGAAGTGCAGTGATCGCAGGGCTGTCACTAGGAAAGCTGAAAACCGAGAGCACCAGGAGACATGACGGCTTCACTGCCCTGTACAACCCTGCTCTGAGCACTAGAAGCTTTGCAACATTAGAGCTTGCGGCCTTCAAACACACTGGCCTCCTCGCAACTTAGTAGCAAGGGCAGAGGCGGTGGTGGCTCATGACAAGGACAGGGGTGCACAACACAACATTGGCGACACAATCAGACGACGACACCTTCGCACTCCGGAGGAAGAGTGGATTTCGGATGCTTGCTCTCAAAGTGCTGCCTGTAGGTCTTAGGGTCGGGCATTTGCGACTATAATCAAAGCAATCAAAACGCACGCACGCACACAAACACATACATGGAGGACAACATATGCAAAACGCACGCATGCACACACATACACAGAGGATAACATATGCCCAAGTTTAGATATCATATTGGCCACTGGTTACCCCGGAACCAAACAGGTTAATTGACAGGAGTCAAGAACAACATTGCCAACTAAGCACAGCAACGGAAATGGTCACCATTATACCAATGACCGTATGCCATTCACTGCAAGCAAGTTAACGGTTAATTCTCAAGCTAACTGTCTAATGCACACGACAGCTGTACCATGAATTGCTCAGTGAATGTCTGAATGATATGCATGAAGCTCTACAGTAGGTCGGTAAACTCTACAGTCTCTAGTCTAGCAATATATTGAGCATTTTCTTGAGTACTAGCCGATGAGCAAACGAAACAAAGCCAATGCCAAGTACATTTCGCACTCCCATTTGTACATTCCACGTCAATAGTACCTTGCAAACTGTGCAGGTGTAAATCAACGCCTTCTTCGCTGATCCTTTCTGGTCGGATTGTTTCTTCGCTTTCTCCATCTCCTTTGCCCTCTTTTGCTGGGACTGCACTTTCTGCTGACCACGCGCCATGATTGCAATCCTCTTTGCGCCAAACAAAAGAAATTTCAACAGGCAAGCGATCTGCGGCTGCTGCTCAGCTAACTAGTTATCTCACTGGTTGGTTGAACAACGCGGATGGACAGCGCGGACCTTCAAAACAGACAAAAGATTGCAAAGAGCTGAGCAAACGCTTGGCTTCAAAAAATTTCCCCATCCAAACATTTTGCTTTTTATCGAATGACATGGCAACGTCTTTTGACGTTTTGTGAAAACGGCCCCGAGGTAGTGAAAAAAAGGAGGGAAATCTAGCGTTTGCAGACGCCATATTTTTTCTCTTTTGCCAAAATAATTTTAGCGTGTCAACGGGTTACCAGTTCCAGGTGACTGAGCACCATTGGCGATGAGTAATTCCGTTCCCTTGACTGAGAACTGCGCTGGTTCTTCTTGACTTCAGCTGAAGTTCAGGTCTTCATCAAGGCAACGGTTGCGGTGAATTAGATTGTTGTTGAAGTTAGTTGACGTATCCTGTACTAGGGGCACTAGTTTGCTTGATAGTTTTTCTGCACTTGAGCTTGAGGGTGGGATTCCGCTAAACGAGCAAGATGGTGTACGGAACAATGTACAAGGTCGTCTACGGCATTTCGCTGTTTGTGATCACCGCCGTTTGTAAGTCCTTAGGATATGCTCAGGACCTATGCAGTCTTCTCTGTTTATCGGCATGTTCTGGACAGAGTTCTTAGTATCTATCTCTCGTGTTGTCCTTTGCGTATAGTGTTGTACTACATGCTCACTGGAAGAGGATATCAGATTGACATTGAATGGTGAGACTTGCCTGTGCCTTTTACTTGACGAGAATCGACCATTGCAACATTGCTAATTTTCAATAAATATCTGCAATGATGGTCATTCTAGCCTGATACCATTCCTGTTTGAAGTAAGATAGACCACAACGACATCCATCGTGTTACTTGATATGAGTAGCAACACATGTATGACTTCATGATCAAACTGTGAGTAGGAACATTCAATTAAGTTCAGCTGTCTTCTGAAATTAGGAGTATTTTTGAAACTTTCAGAAGGACATACGTCAGTGTAGCTTTCCATTGCTGCACAGCCTTTTTGGAATAGTTCTGGCATGGAAACAGTGGCAGTTCAACAGCCACAGCCAGGCACTGCTATTCACCCACCTGTGCGTGGTGCCTGTCTCAATTCAGTAGCGGCGAACCGCTTGGCATTGCTGTTGTACCGCCTACTGGCATCTTAATCACGTTTAGCCTTTTGGGATAACGACAGGCACGATGAGCACAGACCTTCAGGAACTGCATATGAGCGGCTAACCCAGCGGCCCATCTTCTAAACCCTTGCCATGCATAAGTAGCACTTTTCTATTGAGGTTGGTGAAGTCCGACTTTCTTGCTCATGCGCTCACAACTTTCTGGTAGAAAGAAAATGGAAATAGATTGTGACATTGATAATGGGGTGTTGGCACTCTGTAGGTAAAACAAAAATGCATTTGGCCTTGCAATTTTAACTCCATGTGCCACTGGCTTGTCATTGCATCAACTACTAGTATAATTATGTTTACAGTGCAACACCATGCACCGTTGTTCATCAATATCACCTCCACAATATGACGACGGAAGGGCGAGATGATGGGGTGCTCTCGTGGTACTTTACGGTACCCACACGCATGCACACACACACCTGAATACAATACAATAGTGCCCATCCGCAGATGATGGCCGGTCATGAAAGGACCAACTGTGTTTCAGTCACGGGGAACAGAACTTCGAGTGGCGGGTGAGTTCGTAGCAACGTTGAAAAATCTCGGTCGCAGTAGCATCTGAACTCCTGAGACACAGCATAGTGCAGCCCAATCCTCCTCCGGGTCCATATCACAGAATGAGCGGTCGCTCAGCGGCTGTAGGTTAGCATTGATCTCGTCTTGATATTTGCTCCGCATATCAGGTTTGGTTCGCAACTGATGAGCCGTATGTGGACGCCGGTGGGACGACGACTTCTGTGATCGGAAAGCTCGGGCATAAAAGACAAAATTCGCACGGACTGGCATTTGATCTGACCAACATGGAATGCTTTAGTTGCAGGGTGTATCCAAGTGCCAAGGTGTATGGCCTTCTTCTTGAACACAGTGTTCATGATGGTAAGCTCATTCATTTGGCAGAACTGGAGAAGATCTTCACCAGCCGTGTGACGAGTACCCAGACCAAACTTCCTAAGAGTGCCAGTCCAGTCTTCCTCCGGCTGAAAGCTGCCAACACGTGCATTGAAGTCTCCTAACACAATAAGTTGATCGCGCTGGTCGACTTCATTGATGGCATGTTGAAGTTTATTATAGAAGTGTTCGTCACAGCAGGAGTCGCTTTGAACGTTGGTGCATAAACACTCGCGGTCGTCAGGAATTGCTGCTTTTGTGCCGATGTTGACAAAAGTAAGGGAGCAGTCACGATGCGAGAATTCACAGCCTTCCACGAGCTTCCAGCGTCGTTCAATGCAGCAGTCATACAAGCGTTCAGCAAGATACCAACTCCCTCGCGACAAATACAATTGTCTTTGTGTTGGGGCGTCTTGTGCCCGGAGTGAAGCAGCGTAAAACCATCGATCGCGGGCCAGACATCTTGCCCAAACACACACACACACACACACACACACACACACACACACACACACACACACACACTGTACTTGCTCACTGCCAAAATTGGTCACGTGGGTCTCCCCGGGAGAAGGGAGATAGGAACTCAAAAGGAATCTAAGAAAGAGGACTCAATTGGCTATTGAACCGCCCAACGGCCGACGCCCCCTGAAATTCCCAAACTATGGGTGGACTTGCAAATGATCCCACTTACGGGCTCACCACACCTCAGTAAGTGGGTGAGGACAAGGTGCAGAAAAAGGATTGACGGCATCTGGGTATCCGTCCTGGGATCCAATTGCAGTTACCCCTGCCCCCAGTGAGGGTAATACTTGATACTAATGTGGGTGGCTAAATCAGAGTGGATCTGATATAAGCTTCACTAGCACCAGTGATTACACAAGAGTTAATCTAGCCAGAAGCAATCCATGATCGACATGTATGTATACTGCAAATAGAAAGTATATGAACCCTGAAACCAACAAATGTGGCAGATACAACAATACACCTTCAAGCAGCGGAGCCTGTTGGCAACAGACCCAGGTGGGTACATACGCCACATACATACACACACATACATACATACATACATACATACACACACACACACACACACACACACACCATGTACCACACACACACACACACACACGCACACGCACACACACAGCTCAGGTGAGTGCAGTTGTGCACACGGTGTCAAACACATGCATGCATCCTTGCTAGAAAAGAGAGAAATATTTGCGGGCAGCTGACTTGCTGGAAATGTTTTGGTGGGCGGTTTCAAGACCACGGCTATGACGACACCAGTGCTAGCTTTTACTGATACAGTGTACTGTGTAATCGGAGTACCGGTATCCCCGGCCCAAAGTGTATGATTCGATCTGGATTTTCTACATGTACTTGCTCGGCCACTAGCGAAGCTCACTTGTGCTGCAGTGTTCACATTGTCCAATGCCCGAGGCATACTCAGTGAGCAAAACAATAGTAAAGCTATTTAAAACAGGCCTCTCTGAAGAAGAAGAAAAAGGAAAACAATTCTGTGGCAGGTTCGCCGGCGTGTGTATCAGTTGATCACCGGTGTACAATGTCAAGAGTACATAACCCCCCAAGAGTGTGCAACTCGACTATGGGTGCTGTCCCGACAGAATTTCAAGTTGACGTCATTTTTATGATGCAATGCGCACTGTACACGGATTATCAGACGAATCCAGAACGTGTGGTGGACCGAAGCCCATCTGATCCTGTACAAATTATAGCAGAGAAAAACGTGTGATGCGTTGACACCCGTACACATGTTGTAAATCACTGGTGCAAGGAGCATTGCGTCATAAATAATGACGTCAACTTGAAATTCTGTCGGGACAGCAGGGTATGTGGGAGTTGCACACTCTTGGGGGGTTATGTACTCTTGACAATGTGTAATGTGCTCCTGCGCCAGTTGTTCTCCCTGTGCTGTCTTATGTGTATACAGTATAGTGTGTGGGTGAGTTTTTTGTTGCCGGAGGCCCTGCCCCCTCCCCCCCCCCCCCCCCCCCCCCCGCGCGTATGTGTGTCTGGACGTATTTGTCAACACCAGTGTTGGCTGCGGTACATGCACTGAACCATATCGGGTGTGACAGATGGTGTTGGATAAAACAATTGTGTTCTTTTGCTGATTTTTGAACGGCTTGGCTTTGCCACCTCTCTTACCCACTATTGTGGACAGTCTCAAAAGTTTTGAACACTTTCCTCAATGCTGGGTCAGCATTCATTCAATTTCCCCATCCACCATTTGTATTATTGCAGTCCTGTTGCACTTCAATGAAATGATCTTTTTATTCCTCTCGGCTGTGCCTTGGTGTTCCCCGGCATGTGTGGCTGGTAAATTTTGATACTGGCCGCTGCTGGCACTTGTTCTTCAATCTTGATCTTCGACTTGACTTGCTCCATGTACAACATGTCAATTTGTGTTTGTCTTGTAGGTTCTTCAACAACACTACGCCGTACATGTGGTCAGCTCTCGGTATTGGCCTTGCAATTTCTCTGTCCGTGGTTGGTGCTGCCTGGTAAGCCATAGCTGATCTCTTATCTACTTTTGCCTTTACCATGGGGTTATTGTTTTAGCAGATCGAAGGCTGGAATACTATGCTCTTTTTGCCTCCGGTCGATAGCAATTTGAAAATGGAGGACCGGAAAAGTCGTGAATAGAATGCTTCAGTGTGTGATTTGAGTGGTTGAGTTTTATCCAAGCCACAGGGAATCCAGGTAGGTATAGCCCAGTTGAAGACTGTGGCTTGGTACCACTTTAGAGGGCGCAGTGTCGCCATAGTGAGGTTGCAGCCACTCTCTACCTGCCTTCAATCTTCTCCCCTTTCTTCTCTCCCCTTCCACGATACTGTTCTTGATAACACCAGGGGAATTTTCTTGACTGGAACTTCGATTATTGGTGGTGGTGTCAAGGCCCCTCGCATCAAGACAAGAAACTTGATCAGGTAAGGTGCAACGAATGTTTATCATTTGCTCTTTCTCACCAGCCAATCATGTGCTAGTAAATCCTTCTGTAGCTTCAGTTTGCTGCAGTTGGAAAATAGAGGTGAAACTTTGCTTGGGTAGACTTAGGGTGCGTTCTTATATTCTCTAGCTTCTAGGAGAAGAAGAAAAGAGAAGTCGAAGAAACTGGGATTACTCAAGAACGGGTCTCGAATAATTCGGAGATATTTTGCATATGTCAAGCAAAATGAAGCGCCAAGGGGGCCGCGAACTTGAGTGATGAATGTAGTAATGCACGTGTGCGTATGCGAAAAGGGAAATGCGTACACTCATGATGAACACGTGGCTTTTAGTCGTAGTTCGCATTCGCTGATCCCAAACCGCGGGAATCTCCAAGTTTCAACCACCTCTGAAGCTTGGAGAGCTTTGGAGAGCCTTCTAAAAGTCGGAGAGGATATAAGAACAGCTCTCGAACTTTTCGGAGAGTCTCCAACTTTTCCGAGAGGATTTAAGAACGCACCCTTGGGTAGGCTGTTTGTCCTGGAGATTGTTAGAACTTCTCAGCATCCGTTTCCTTTTTCCAGGTGTGGGGTCTGAGGTTTGTTGTTGAATTTCAATGACTATCCACGTTCCATACAGTTACTGCTGGTACATGTTTACTTTGATTTCATAACCTTGGCTTCCATCTTTCGAAATCGAACGGTGCACATTTGTATGTGGGTGCAATCACACTTTCGTAACTCGACCAAATCTTGACCAAATTCTAAAACCGAAAGGCCTGTGCATGTGTGGTGCAGAAAACTCTCAGCTGTTGCCTTGAACAAGTCCGAAGTCTCTCCAATGAAGGTCGAGGGAGCGACGATCGATTGGACACTTTGCGCTTTCTGCATTGTATGCTGCGAGTCAACAGTGTGTGAAAAAGGGATTTCATCAGCTTCAGAGCAGGCAGCACATGCCAAGACTAGTGTGGCACGAAGCCACAGCGAGGTAGCTTTCACTCGAAGCGTTTGAGCAGTTCTGAGCGAGGGGCAGTGAAACGGCTAAAGGAAACCGATTTCGTCTCAGACCTGGAACTGGACTTGCGTTTGGAGCGTGTTGTGGCGGACACGGAGTCGTGCTCTTGATGAGTTGGAGCGAGGGGGCTGTCCGTAATTATCGATCTTTTACACAAAATGAAAACGTTTATGGGTGGGTAGATCGAGGAGAATTTCGTTAAAAAGATATTGATAGGGTCATAGCAGGCCTTTCCGTTTCTTCATCCACTTATTTGGCATATCCAGTAACACTTTCTATCTGTTTTTTTATCTACTTGTGTCTTGTAGCATCATTTTCTGCGAGGCTGTGGCTATTTATGGCATCATCATGGCAATTGTGCTGATGGGCAAGATGGGGGTGAGTACTGCTCTGCATGTCAAGCGATGCTGAATTTACATGTAGCTGCAAGTCTGCATTCATGAGGACTCACTCTGTGGAGTCTAGGCAGCTGCCCTGCGTTACAGCATAGCTATCAGGTGTCTTGCTTTGAGCTGTGTGCTTTTTTAAAGTGTTAGGCAACGGATCCTGAATGTGATGGGTACTTTTAGAAAGTGCTGTGCTACTTATTGGGCCCATGTTCTTTCGTGCACATCTTTTGACCGGGTCTTGTTTTGCGTTTGTTGTCACCAATGCTGTCTCTCACTTGCAGTCCTTCAACGCTGATGCATCATACGAGATTCTGGAACACAACAGGAAGTCCGGTATGCAGTGCTACTTGTTTGTAGCAATATCAACGGTCACGTACATTATTGTCTACACCTGATATACCAGACTATGTGTACAGCCACCTATGTATGTATGTATGTATGGCATCCAACCGACCACCCCAAGCAGTCCCATTGCCAAAAGAGGGTTCAATATCCGTAATTGCACTAGTCATTCTACTCATGCCAAACATGCATGTCTGCCAAGTACAGCAGCTGTAGTAGCAAGTCCATGTGCCACATTCACTGAGTTCCAACGCCATTTTCCAGCAGCGCGAATCAGTAAAGCGCGTCAATCCTATTTTTTAACGGCATTGCCTTGTTCTTTCTCTCGAGCTAGCTGTTGCAATCTTTAGAAGCTGTCTTTATGTCCGAGAATGTGTGTTTCCGTATGTGTGCATTTGCTTGTGTTTTTAGCCTACCTGCTGTTTGGCGCTGGACTTACCGTGGGCTTGTCCAACCTGGCGTGTGGAGTTTGTGTCGGCATTGTGGGCAGGTACGTACTTCGAGGTTTTTTTTGCATTGCTCCCTCATTTGTGCACTGATCTGCAGCAGCGTAGCTCGAATGGCACATGTGGGGTGGCTGTATAACTTTTTTTCCTGATGCTGTTGTTGGAATGAAATTCCTGTTGGCAATTGTTGCCACTTGTTAAGTTAAGGAGGTTGGGGACAGTTTAGGCCAAATTTCACAGTTGTCGTAATATTTTGATGTGAACAGATTTTTTGGAGTCTTAGGTACCGTAGGTTTCAAATTCTGAAATAGAAAAGGGTGGTCCCCATATCCGTTTTGTCCACTTGAGCACGCTCAAAAAGCACGCTAAAAACGCACACACAACCTGGAAAGGAAAACAAGCACTGGGTGACGCAGAGAGTGAGCATAGAAGACGGGTGACAACACAATGGCTACAATTCGGCATGAAAAACGATTAGGACAACATTAGACAGACAATTAGGACGAGGACACCGCAAGACAAACCAATGGGCGGTGTGGACATAGACAGGACCACGACGTGGGAACACATGACAAGGATCACGATTGGGTGGCGGGCAAGTCCAGTTGCGATAAGGCACGTGACGTGGCATTGTTGGCAATGAAAGGCGGTGGTGGGGAAGAACGTCAGCGTCGAGGTGGCGGTGTCGAGTAAGGCGTCGTCGAGTTGGGCGGATAGGTCGTTGTTGTTGTTGTTGCGGTCTGCGGCGGTTGTTCTGCTGGTGTTGCCGAGGTGGCTGAAAGCCGTGTAGCGTGAGGCGGTGGCAGATTGCCGTAATCAGCTCTTCCGCCGGGAGTGCCCATGGCGCAGTGAACTCGATACAGGTCGATACGGCGACAAGCGGCATCCAGGCGCAATGGCCTGACTAGCGCCGGTGCCGCGGGCGCTGGCGGTATTACCGGCGTCGACGGCGATGGCGGTGACGGCGCTTGCCGGTACCAGTCGGGGAAGCTTTTTGGAGATCCCCATGGTGATGGATTCCAAGATGAAATGCCCGTGTGAGATGGAGGAAGACGAGAAGGACGAGCACAGAGAGGATAAGGAGGAGGTGGAGGAGAGGAATGAGGAGAATAATGTGGCAAATGGGATCAACATGTCAGCAGCAAGTTGCTCATTGGCGGGTAGTGACATGTTGGAATTCATGATCGCTAGACGGAGCAACGATTAAAACACAACGCCCAGAACAAAAACAAAACAAAAAGAACAACTACGAATGAAAGACACTTGTAGGCGAGGAGCATTAAATTAAATCGAAGTGCGAGACCGGGTATTGTTTGGTGTGCAGGCGCAGCAAGAGGTGTTCGTGTAGGCGCAGCAAGTGGTGTGCATGTTGCAGGTCCCATTGAAGACCTGCTTGGAAGTTCCCTGGAGCTTGGCCATAGCAAAGAAGGAGAGCCTGACCTCTAGTATCACAGCCAGAGCAGAGGCACAGAGGCTGGCCTCTCACACTGCCCACCATGTTTTTCTTCACAGTGACAATCTTGGACGTGGCAATGACGCACAGGTTGAAACAGCGGGGAGCACACTGTGTGTAGAGAGCCATCGGACAAGTCTCCCTGATGTCACAACCGTAGAGCTTGCTAGCCAAGTAGTGGTGTTGCCCGCTCCCACGTATCCGCTGCCTGTGGAGAAGGATCAAGTCGAGGTGGCATGGCCAATGCAACACTGGCTATCCCCTTATCGCAGACAGCGAAATCAACAAGTCACAGTGCTTGCCATTGGCTTTCGGGTCAACATAGCGCATGGTTATTGACATCTGTTCCTAGTTCCTAGCATCAACTGCTTTATCTACAAAGGCAGTGAATCGAATCAGGTCGGTTCTGGCTCGGAATGCGATTCTGGGGAATAATGCCACTTCATGAGGGCAGGTTATTTTAACATTTTAAATTGTGTGCGACATGAACGATACTGTACACGTAATCATTTTTCTTACTTGTACCATTGTTGTGCTTTGCTTGTCTCTGCTCTGTGCAGCGGTGCAGCATTAGCTGATGCGCAAAACCCCACACTTTTCGTGAAGGTCAGTGAGGAACGTATACAGCGTATGTGTGTATATCCATGGAAGTAATCACGTTGCCTTTTCCTCTTTCAGCTTTTGTCTGTCCGCACATGCCGTTATCCTGTTGCCTGTGTCCATGTTTGCATGCACTACTGTAAGACAGGTATATATAACGAGGAAGCAAATCTAACGTTTTAACGGATGACATTTCTTCGTTATAATAAGATCCGTTGAGGCCGTACTGCTTCATATATGCTGTGTGTGGATACCGTAAAAGTCCGTAAATAAGTACGTAACGTATTTACTTTCGAATTTAGTGACCACACCCGTACTAACTTTCGGGCGGGTACTGACTTTCGGGCACGAACTAACTTTCGGACCTGACTTGTGTGTAGTGGAGAAGTCATTTTCATGTCGATGTACATGCTACGTGCAGCATGTGCGCATCGTACCGGTACTTATTTCGGGCAGTATGTTTATCGGGCTTGACTTGACTTCAACAGACAGAGCCAAAAGAATGAAGGGGGTATTTCTTTCGGCCAGGTACTTATTTACGGACTTTTACGGTATGGCAGAATACTGCAAGATCGTTAACATATCTTCTTGTTAACCTATGAATTTTGGACAATTGTTAAATTTGCGACTCGTTATAATAACATGTCTTACAGTACCAAGTGTAGCGGTAGGCAGGGAGTGTGCTTCAGCAAGAGTGCTTCGGCACCAGCACTCGTTAAAAATTTCGATTTTAGTTTGAGAAAGGCCATAGTACCTGTACCGCTGACCGCATGTTCGACTCGACAGAGCTAAACTGGGAATCGATGATATTCCCAGTTTAGCTCTACGTGTTTTTAGATCTGGAAACGAACTGCCTGCCTGTAGTTGTGCGGTGTCAGCACATTGTTTGTGCATGTAGCACCACCGTCTACTTCTTTAGATGCATGTGCATGTACCACGAGTCACATGCACTGGTTTATTTATTTCTTTTGATCGAGAGCATCCATGTTTTTGATCCATTTTCTTGTGCGTGTTCTGCTGTTTGGCTCACACGGCAGGTTCTTATTGTGGAGATTTTCGGCAGTGCCATTGGATTGTTTGGCATCATTATCGCTATTATCCAGGTAAGATGATGTTTGAATTCAGATGTGTGTGTGTGTGTGTGTGTGTCTCTCTCTCTCTCTCTCTCTCTCTCTCTCTCTCTCTCTCTCTCTCTCTCTCTCTCTCTCTCTCTCTCTCTCTCTCTCTCTCTCTCTCTCTCTCTCTTTGTGTTTTATTTTGATAAACTGTGCAATTTAGCTTGAAAGAAAAATCGGTGATTGCTTTGAAAACTCACTTTCGATGAGCATCGTATGCCTCATGTCTTGATCACAAGTTTTGCAACTGCGCTTTTGTGGTGTTTGTTTGATTTAATTCTGCAGACCAAGGGAGCTGGCATGGGCAACTCTGTATCGGGTTGATTGTCTTGTTGTCGCAAGTATTTCTATTTCTCTCTCTCTCTGCTTTTTACATGTGCATACTTACTTGCTGTATGCCGGTGTTAGCCTTATGTTCTCTTGGAATTGTACTGAATTTAAAGTGCCCGTAGTGCTACGCTGTACTCGTGGCTTGCTGCCTTGGAGCTGTCCTCCTACAGCTCTGCCTTCCTGCTAGAGACATCGTTTCTTCTTATTTTGTTGTTGTTGTTGTTGTATATTTGTAGCATGTGACATACTTATAATAATTATTATTTTGCCGTTCATTTCCAATCGGCTGCTAATGCTACTCTTGCATGCCACCTCTGTCCCTGGTAACGACCATTTTAGTCATTGAAAATTAATGCCCATTTCAGAATCTTCCTTTTTATTTTATTAGAAGTTGGAACAGTCGCCACTGTACTTCTGTACATATTACTACGATTGGTGGTGATTATGTTACCACAGCATTATGATTGGTGGTGGTCATGTTGCCACAGTGTACTCGAGAGCATATCGTTTTGTTCTGTACGCTCTTAGCCTCTGATAATGGCTTGGCATTTAGGAGAGTTACATCATCTGCCTCATTATCTGCCCGCATTGATTTGCTGCACTCGCGATTTGCAGGCCTGAGTCCTTTCTGAACAGAATGCAGCCTACTCTGAGATGGGGCATTCCTCTGATGAGAGCTGTTCTGGCAAGTTGGTGCGAGTATGCATAAACCTCCGGGTGAACTTGGGAGGGCTTCGTAACTGTAAAGTGCTGTGTGCAGTCATGGCAAGTGACAATTGCCGGGTCATTGTGCAATGTACACCATTGACTTCCACTCTCCCTTCACATCTCATACACCGTCTCCGAACGAAGACTTGCTCATTATTTTTATTCAACAACCCTGTCAGTTTTTGTAACTGCCTTTCACAAGTTTCAGTTTCATTGCATGATCCAACAAAGGGTATGGTAGCTGTGTGAAACAGCCACTCCAAAATCCGACCAGACAGGCTCCATCAGGGAGTTGAAATGCTAAAATACGACTCCCTGGTCCTAGCCCTGCTGCAGCATGTTTCAAGAACTGACAACTGACTCACGTGCACGTGAACCGCACGCGCATGGCCCGATGTTTCCAACTCGCTTGCACACGAACCTCGCCATGCGGCATTATGGTATGGCCATACGAATCTCCCCAGTCATTTGAACTTTTGAAGCATAGTCTAGTTAGGAGCTGAGCGTGGTGGACCATGTGGACAAGGACAGAGGAAAGACGTGTATGTAGGCATTTGCTGCACCAGCAAGTATTTGTCTGCTGCTATGGCCATCCAGTGGTCTGTCACTGGCAGTATCTTCTTTGTACATGGGTCAGTGGATGCCTGTGCCCACCCCGACAGGTGCGGCGCGTAGAATGGCCGAATGTAGTAATCAGGCGTCCTACTACTAGTACTAGTTACTTCTCCCACTCTGCTGCAATCATTTTTCATCCTGCTGTGCTAGCTGTTCATGGTTTGTTTCCAGCCATGAAGATAACATAGACGAAGCGACTTATCCTTGCCTGTTCTGAGTGTTGGTGCGTAACAAGTCCTGTGCGCGATCTGGCAGACCATTGATCAACTAGATTCTGAGCTCAATATGATGACAGCTGTGGCTTGCTAACCTAATCAAACTACTTTGCAGTGTGGGCACGGAGTCCTTTTTAGATTGGCAGCAGAGATGAGCTTCGTACAGGCATTAGTACACCCTGAAGATTTGGTGGCGTTGGTGAAGTTTAAATTTCTTGGCGGCGCAGAGAGTGTGACACCTCGCGTGAATCTGGTGAGTTTCCAGCACTGTACACAATTTTAAATGGTCGAAAGCCATGCCTGCACAGAATGTTTCTGCACAAAGTAACATAGTTAGTTTATTGTACGACGTATGTATGTGCATGTGAAAAATACAGTTTTCGTTGAACAACATAAACCTTCCCAGTGTCCGTAGTAGATACAAAATCTGGGTGAGTGAAGCCCCCCCACCTTGAGAACATTGTAGTTTATGTTGCAGGCAGCAGTGAGTAAGAACGGCGGAGTTGGTTTTCTGATAGCATTTGGGGTGCGTGTAATCCAGTATGAGTTTTTCTAAGAACCTGCTGCAAGAACGCAACCAGATTGCTGAAAAATAAGAACGTCCCAGGCTACCCCCTCGGAAACAACGTTCTTGGGCACTCAACTCTACTGTACTGTTGACCCGCAGGTTGGATTTCCTTGGCCACGACTACTGTAGGTCTGCAAATTTTCGGCGCGTTTAAATTTTGGCCTCCCAGGGCAAAATCACATTTCAGCCGCACTAAAATTCCAGCCTGTACTGCTGCTGAGCTGCCTGTATACACTGCCACACTGAACCTAGCGAAACAAAATTTCAGCCGCAACACATTTTCGGCTGAAAATGCCCTGGGCAGAAAATAGCCGAAAATGAACATGCGCCGGATATTAATTTTGTTGACTTGCAGTAGTAGTTGCATTAGGTCCTGTTTGCATGTTGTATTCCTCGATGCCACAACTCCATTATGGACATCTACATGCAGCTGACGAGCTGAGAGAAGGACACCGTGGGCAGAAGTTTTTCAAGGAAAAACACGGACAAAACAACACCGAAAAATGCATGCGGCCACCTCTTTGAACCCAAACTGCAAACAGCTTCCTTTAGAGGGCGGACATGTGTGGTGATTGCGGTCTACGTCACCATACCTATCTGAAGGATCCTGCTGCACTGTGCTCTGCGGAATGCTCGAGAATCAAGATCTATCCCGTCCGAAATGCTTCGCAAGCACCTTTCCCAGCACAGCATGATTACGCGCTTGCTGCATTGTAATTTGCAAGGCATGTACGCGTTCAGTATCGCTACATATTTCAATTCCTGCGAAGTCGCAGCATTCAGTTTGTTTTCATGTTGCTTTTGTAACTTTTGTTCTTGCTCCCAGTCAACCCTGGACAAGCCTCTCCAGGTCTGCTATCAATTGCTGAAGCGAACAAGCAGGAGTTTTGCTGTGGTTATTCAGGCACTTGATGAGGAACTCAGGTGAGTGCACTGCTGAATCGTGCCGGAGTACATTGCTGAACCGTGCCGGAGTACATTGCTGAACTGTTGCTGTACTGGTAAACCGGTGCACCTGAAGTGAAAGGCATCACGGGCGGAGAGGGGGGGGGGGGGAGAGATAAAGTTGCTGTGTTGGTTAATACGAGCATCTGGATCGAAAGGCGGTGAGGGAGAGGAGATGAAATTGCTGCATTGGTTAACATGTGTACCTGAATCGAAAGACGACGAGGGAGAAGAGACGAGCACTGCCCTGACCATGTTGAGCTCATCGAAGCATGAGGCCTATTTACGCCTCCTGTCCCCCTACGGTCAAAATTGACAATGGCTACCTTTTCTTTACCGTACCTGTGCATGTGCTTCCAGTACCTACTACTGTTTACTGAATGCGAACATCTAGCACATTTGAGAATTCCTATCTACTACTTCCTATTGACCCGTCACGTGACTTGTTGTACTATTTGTACACGTTCTACTGTTGTGTATAAAAACAGTGCTTCGGCCCAGGAGCGTATGTTCAGACCTTGCTCTGCTGTCAAACGCAATTCTTTGTATGGCGTATACACCAGCAGCTACTAAGATAACTTTTTTAGTGCTCACTACTATGCAAAACGGTATGCTTGTGTGTCAGCACTCTCGTCCCGTTTTCGTGCCTTCATGCGAGCAATACTTGAGAGACGACCACCATTGGTATGATGAACTAGTATGATCAGCTTACACGGCAGGCTGTGCTTGCCATTGATCCTTGATATAATGTTATTTACATTTTGGATTTTTTTTGTTTGAATGTTGTGTTCTGTACCTCACAACAACAACAGAGATGCAGTCTGTCTGTTCTACCTGGTGCTGCGTGCCTTGGACACCGTTGAGGATGATATGACCATCACGTCGGCCGAGAAGATTCCACTGCTGAAGAAATTCCACGAGTTTCTGGATGATCCCACGTGGTCTTACTCGAAGAGTTCTTGCAAAGATGGCGTTGTGCTAGAGCGATTTCCTGTAGTAAGTCGGTGCATGATACGCAAGAGTGGCCAAAACTGCCGAAGTCCTATGCTATGGATTATTTGTACTGCGTGCAAATAGGTACAACAAAGTGCTCATGTTTGAGTGTCATATCTGTGTGTATGTGTGTGTGTGTGTCAGTGTGTGTGTGTGTGTGTGTGTGTGTGTGTGTGTGTGTGTGTGTGTGTGTGTGTGTGTGCGTGTGTATGTATGTGCCTGTGCGCATGCTGTGTGTGTGTGTGCGTGTGTGTAAGTGCATGTGTGTGTGTGTGTGTGTGTGTGTGGGGGCGTGCGTGTGTTTGGATTGCTTCTCTCAGCCCAGTTATAACACACACAAACACACACACACGCGCGCGCGCGCGCGCGTGCATGCGTGCGAACAGATCACCCCTTCTTACTACAATCATGTTGTTTTTCGATGCCCTTGGTGTTTTCACTTAGATCAGCAACGAGTATCGGCGGCTTAAGCCTGCTTTCAGAGATGTGATCAAGGACATTACCGCTCGCATGGGTGCTGGATTTTGCATCTACTTGGAAAAGGAAGTCAGCACGCTAGCAGATTGGGACGAGGTGAGATTGATAAGCACAGATAGCGATGCTAGCTTAGAAGAGTACTAACACAGTTACTAGTATGTGTAGCTGATGTACTCACGGGTAGTACATGTGCTGCCACGATATACTTTCAAGCCGCAGGTTGTAAAGCAGGCATCCGTCACGCTTTCAAACACACAATGTCAGACTAGAGTAGTGCACTGTCAGATACCATCGGTGTTTTGTGGTTTCCCAGAGCAGTTGACAAGAGAGTTTTGCACCACGTCACCACTCACTGAGGAAACTAATGGTTATTGACTTATTGTAAGTCTTAGGTCCTCATCTCCCGTACATTTCCTCGCACATCCTTGATTTTCCCCTGCTGGCCTCCCGTAGCTTCCCCGCGTTCCCGTATGACACCTTTGTTCCGTTGGCCTGGGTAGCTGCTTGCGTGCGCATATTTGCCCTAGCTACTCAGGCCCTTCATCTAGCTCTGACTCTGGCTCTTGCTATCATCATGCAGTCTTTCGTCTCTCTGTCTCACCGCGTCGTTCCCCCCAATAATTGTCTTCTGAAACTGACCTTGTTATTGACTTGCTGTGAGTGTGGAGAAAAGGAATTGTAATGAACTCAACATAAGCACTGACGAGTGAGTTGACAGAGTTCACCAGTAGAACGATAGCTAGTTCTGAAACCGGGCTCGTTTTGCCGCATTGCTAACAGTAATTTGACTTACGGAAAAGCCCAAACATTCCTGGCTACAGCCAGACTGAGGCTGCTGCATTATTTCATGTTGCTTTCTCTCTTTCTCATGTGCATGATAGTTTGCAACCTTTTCTTTTCTCTTTTGCAGTACTGTCACTTTGCTGCCGGTTTGGTTGGCGTTGGCCTGTCGCAGTTGTTTGCTGCATCGGGCCTGGAAGATGTCAGCGTTGCCACAAGCACCGAGCTCTCCAACTCGATGGGGCTGTTCCTGCAGAAGACTAACATCATCCGTGACTACCTGGAGGATGTGAATGATAACCGGCACTTCTGGCCGAGAGAGGTGAGCCGCTTGTTTCTCTGTGTTATCGGGTGGAGAGGATGAACCGACGCCCCACTGACTACAATAAACAAATTAAAAAAATTCGACGGTTTCGCGTACCGGGCAGGTCAAGAACAAAGAGTCGTACAACTCCCTGGTCAAGAACCACCTTTCCGCTTCCACTGACTACAAACTAGCTTTAAAACGTATTTGAGAGCTGGACTTTCGACTTCTAATACCGTAAAGTACCGCCAGAGCGCCCCGTCTCGCGAGAGCGCCCCACCTTGATTTTACAGCCAAGGGAAGAAAATCGTATGGCAGGATGCTACTAAGTTTGTACGATGTGAGAACCTTCGTGTACTAAGGTCACACTTGGTATGCTTTTATATGGTGCTCGAAGGTAACCTGGGTACGGATTGACTGCACAATGTGCAATGTTTGTACAAGGTCCGTGTCGTATGACCTACAGGCAGGAATCCACCTCCACAAGGCGGCCACGAAAGGACGAGCTGGTGGGGCGCTCTGGCGGTACTTTACGGTACTGTAAAACCGGAAAGTCTAACGAGTCACAAAGTTTAACGTTTTAACGACCAATTTTTTCGTTGTTCGAAGAAACGTTATGGGGAGATGTCTGTGCATACAGATGGGTACCGGGTGGCCGGCCAGGTAGACTTTTTGGTCGTTAAACTTTCTGGTTTTACAGATTTATCATGGTGATGTTCGATCTATCGCATTGGGATTCGGATCGGATTGGGCAGCCTGTACAGATTCCCACACACACAAATTAAGCAGCCCTCGAAGAATTGTGATTGCACATGAGTCACAACGACCATAGGTAAATTCATACCGTACTTCTCCACATATAAGCGCATGCGCTTGCGCTTATAAGCGAAAATTTGCTGCAAAATATTTTTGGCTGTTTAAACTTGTTCGGGTAGAAGCCCATGCGCTTATATGCACAATAACGGTTTGTCTGTGTTCTAAACAATGGTGTTATCACACTGCTTAGTGGTATATTCAGCTCCTGCCTTTTCACCAATAATGTTCACATATAAGCACATGCGCTTGTAATTGGGGGGGGGGGGGGGGGGGGGGGGGGGGTGTGCGCTTATGTCCGGACATAAGCACATGCGCTTATATGTGCGGAAGTACGGTAATCCTAACGCAAGCACGTCTGGACGGCCACGATTCATCACACAGTAAAAGAGGACTAAAAGAACCAGAAGCAGGTGTATGTGTAGAGTGTTGCCAAGACCAGGGAGTATCACGTACATGTACATGGAGTGACAATACACGCCAGGCTGACACACAGCATGCTTCACCAGTGACCCATCTGGCGCGTGGCACGGTAAGACGACGTTGAAGCAAATTCCCGGCGAGCGGCAACTGGAGCAGACCTCAGCAAGCAAAGCTGGCAATAATCCCTCTCTTCGGATGTTGAAGGTGACTAGTCAAGTGGTGTGCTTCCCTGTCCGAAGAGTGCTCAATACCCATGTAGGGCAGAGCCTTGTACACAAGAGAGATTGGAAGCTTTGTCACAACTCTGAGTTTCGCGTATTACTACGTTGCCTGATGATCGTAGTAATACGTAAAACTCAGAGTTGTGACAAAGCTTCCAATCTCTCTTGTGTTGAAGGTGACTACGCGTACAGCAGAGGCATTTTAAGATCTTTGACCCGGTGTCGCTCCCGCCACCTGTGAAGGGCGTGCTTATGGAACGTCCAAAATAGCTTTGAACACGTCCCACCGGAACACACTTGGCAATAGGTTTATTGGATCAAACCAGGTTGTTTATTCCGAGTTCAATTTCCGATTCACCAAAAACAAAGTGTACGTATACAAATCACAGCCGGATTTCGTCGGGGCGTTTTTCCTAATTTTCCTTCCGGACAGTTGCGGGTGGCAAAATATGTACACATGTATCGCACAATGTGTAACAACTTAAAAGAGATGTACCCACTCTATCTGACACCACATATCCTACAGAAATGAAAGCCCCGAGTAGTTCCTGCCACACAATTTGTAGTGCAAAAGCTCCCAGCATGTAGTGTTGAGGAGTTCACCCCTCATCAGTTTAGCTTGAATACTAGGGCTGAAACAATTATACCGAATAATCGAGTACTCGTTTGATAACTCTAACGATCGAGCAATCGTTTAGATTACCGATTACGATTATTTTGCTTTTTTTTTTAATTTTTGTCCAGAAAGTACTGTAAAGCCTCGTTTTGTGAAGTTTGAATCAGTTTCCGCTGGGAGTATGCAGTTGCCAGGGGTATGGTTCATGTTCTGAGGTTAAATCGACTTCAAAACTGCCATGTTTCGGAGCTACCCTTTCACTAATGCAGATTTGTTGGTATTATGAAGGCATAGTTTGTGGAATCAGAGTAATGTTTGCACAGAATTATGACTCTATTTGCTAACGATTATAATCGATTACTCGATCGTTAAGCTAGAGAGTAATCGATACTTGAAAATCCACCATCGTTTCAGCCCTATTGAATACTTATAGGCTAATGGAATTTATGCTCCGGGGGGGGGGGGGGGGGGGGGGGGGGGGTGCTTTTCCATTGCTGATACAGTCCGAAGGCAAGTGGAAAATTGTTCTCCAAAGGCGAATGTTGTTGTCGCCAAGGCCACCCGACGGTGTACCGTCCGGCCTCAAACACGACCGATTGAAGGAAGTCATCATACGCGTGATCGTTGCTGGGGCGTGTCGCACTGAGCGAATCGAAATCTTCAACAGCCCAGAAGCGCTCCAGGTCAAACGAGGGGTCTTCTCGTCGATGGCTTGCTACGGCTAAGGTGGTGTTGCTCTCGATTACCGAACAGGCATGATCAGTTGCTACTGTGCTGGCGCAAACGAAACCAAGTGATGGTAACGAGTTCAAAAGCTGCAGGCCATCGGGAAAGGAGATACGGTCAGTGCCCGGGATCTTATAGTAGTGATCAAAACCAATGAGGATGTCAATACAAAGGTGATCGTTGGATGATGTTAGTGGCTCCGCAAGAGGAAGGCTGTTGAGGCTTGGGTGCCTGTTGGTGTCCAGGGGGACGCGCCGTATCGGTGAAGTGATTTGGGGAATCGCATTGGCGGACAACGGACGGATTGAGTCATTCTTGAGTTTGCGGTTGACTTCAATGCGTGGATATTGAGAAGTATTCCTCGATGCACTACCGAAAGTAGGGAGGGCAATGTGATCGTGACCTAGGACACTGAAATTGGCTTTCGCCGGGAGTGCTTGCGTGACATACAAACGGCAAGAGCCACTACCGAAGAGTACGCGCGCAGACAACGTGATCGGAGTGCCGGAGGAGTTGGATACTACGTCTGCAACTGTGGTTTGCATGACAGCGGACTGGTTGTCGCCTGCAACTGTGCTAACGGCAGGGCGTGTTTGGAAAGTTGCTGTGTTGGCACACATGGCTGAGCTTGGTTGTGCACCGAATTTCACAGGACAGGAACTAAAGTGATGGTCAGGCTTACGGCAATAGAAACAAGGCTTCTGCTGACTACAGGAAGAAACGCTGTGCCCTGGCCGTAGGCACCTTTGACACTTGTCGCCGAGGTGCGGCTTTCTTATTTCAAGAGTACAGTACTTGGAACGCATGTCGGAGTAGTGGTTCTCCTTTCAGAAAGCGCAGACTTTCTTTCTCGTCTCTGACTGGCGGATTGACTTGCCGACAAGAAGCACGGATGACTTATGAACAGAAGACGGCTGTTCATTTGCTGCTGGTGGCATGACTAGACTGGCGCTCAACTGCATCCTGCGCTACAATGTAAGCACACAGCTTGGCTCTCAGCTCAGCGATAGACCACGGATCGATTCCTTTCTGCAACTCAAGTTGCGCAAGCATGTGGCGCGGGAGCTTGCTGGTCATAAGTGAGATGAAGATGGGTTGGTTGGTATCTTCGTCGAGAGCGTTGAGACTTCATAGATGGAGCTTTACCGTGTCGTATAGCTTACGGAGGGAGGACGGCTTTTTGGTTGCAGGTGGCGTTTCCATCAATGCGACATGGTGAGCATTTGCCTGCACCTGTGTGTTGCCATAACGCTTGTCGAGCAGGCCAAGAGCAACAGCATAATTGGCATCCGCTGCACATCACTTAATCCAGTGTGTTTTTCCACAGACGCCATGAACATGTCATAGAATGACTTCCATTGGAAAATGTCTTCGTTGAACTTAGGTTAACCTAATTTGGCAAATTGACTGTCGACTTGTGAGACACTCTTGTGGTGAGCGATTCATGTTGATGTTGTAGCAGAGATTGAGTTTGTTCTTGTGTTTGTCGATGGATGGTCAGAAACTCTTTCATCTGGTCTTGCATTAACTTGACACCTGTGACGTCATTCGATTTGCTAGTACTCGACTCTGGAGAGGTCTGACATTCTGCTGCTGATTTCAGCTGAGAAATTCGAAATTTCAGCTTTTTGATTGTGCTCCTTGTTTCAAACTGGAAGTCCAGACTCTTGTCTGCTTCCTGTGCCCAAGCAGCTTCGTCGAAGCTCTCCAGGGCGGAGGAATCAACGCAATTTGACAAAAGCTCACAGACCCCATCAAATGCTACGACATCGGACTCTAAAGATGCACATGTTTCACTTAGCGTTTCTGTTGTTGCAGATGACGTAGCTCCAGTCAATAATGCCTTGGCGTAATCGAGACACTGCTGGATGCTCTTCTTCGGTCGAACTATCTTGCTGCGATACCGCTTAGTTGATGCTGGATTAGGAGCATCGGCAGCCTTTTTCGGTGGCATTCCCGGGTTTCGGCACCAAGTTTGTGTGCAACTTTGGACTGTTGAGTGGGAGAGCTTGTAGCCACGCACAAAGAAGTAACTCAAATTTGGAAGTGTTCCGGTTCTCGGAACGACTTTGTCTTTCTTACTTGAAAGGTGACTTGAAATCAGTGTCACCAAAAACATAATTTGAGACAAGTGAGAGCAAAAGGAAAAAAAGGTAACAAAAAAGGAGCCACTGGCTCGCTGCGCATGCTCTGGCCTGAGAGCTGCAAAAGTGCGCACGCGATGCGTGCAATAAGACGTCAGCATGACGTACACATGATGTACGCATAAACAATAAAGACCTAATAATGAGTGTAGCGCGGATTCGTGGTACATATTCACGACAACTGTCCGGCGCCGAAGAACGAGAACGACCAGGCTAGAATTTCACCAAGCACAGCATACCAATGTATGCACGGTGACTCAACTACGGATGAAATGTATGTAATGCATGAAAATAAGAACGGTGTAGGCTCGGAGGCTCACCTCCAGTTCTTCGGCGACCGCCCGGCAGTACTGTACTCCCATACACATGATGTGAATTTTGTCATTTTGTTTTCCTGCAGGTCTGGTCACAGTATGCTCCGAATATCGGCGACTTCCGCAAAAGGGAGATGTCGGCACCGGCAGTGGCATGCCTCAATCATCTGATCACGAATGCCCTGAGCCACGTCCCCGATGTTATTGCCTACCTTTCGCAGCTCAAGAATCAGAGCATTTTCAACTTCTGCGCAATACCTCAGGTACTGTCTCCAGTGTCCCATATGGTGCAGTGGTATGTGCAGCGATTTCCAATCGATAGGTTGCGGGTTCGATTCCCGACGATTATGGTCACACACGTCTTTCTTCTCTTTCTCAGACTCTTCCTGACTTTTCTTTCATTCTCCTGGGTGGTTACCAACAGCCAGTGCATGCCGGAGTATGTGGTGTGATGTGTGTGTGGGAAAAAAAAGAAAAAAAAAGAAAAAAGAAAAAGACCAAAAATAGGGATTCACTGGCCAGAAAAAGTCACTTCAAATAGCTGTATGGTGTAGACCAGGCTGAATAGTGACGGTCAATTCTTCAGCCTTGCAAGCTGTTGAATGGTGCAATCCCAGCACAAGTTGCTATGGCTTCTGCCGTAGCATTGCTATCATCGCCTCCGGCGATGGGCGTCAAAGGTCAAAGGTCAAAGGTCTCCAGTCCTAGTACATGTACCAGTACTGTCTTTGTAGCCCTTTTTCACTTGGGATGACCATTTCTTTCAATTGAGCACAAATTGCGAGCGAAATTAATCAAACTATCGACTTTATCGTTCTTCGGTATGCTTCTTTTTCTTTTATAGACTGTGATTGTGAAGTTGCGATGATGTTTCTTTGGAGGGCTGTTCAAGCTTGACAGCAAAGTCACCAGTGGTTATTTTGTGTTTGAGCATTTTGGCCGAAGTGTTTCTTTGGATGAACTGTGTGTGTACATGAAGGTGGAGTCATTGAGATGGGAAGCAGGTATCGCTTGAACTTCTATTTCCTGTCAGAAGTACACGTGCATGTAGCACTGAGCGTTGCACTTCTTTATCGATGATTGTCTTCGGTGATGTGCCTGACTATCACATTGAAATTGAAAAAAGACATTTCAGCTTGCTAGCTTGTCCTTGTTGTGCTGTTTGAAATTGAATACGTAATTATATTGATTTGTGCTTCTCTTGCTCACACTCACAGGTAATGGCGATTGCTACTCTTGCTCGTTGTTACAACAACCACAACGTCTTCACTGGTGTTGTGAAGATCAGGAAGGGGGAAGCTTGCTCCATGATGATGGAATCAACGAATATGGAGAAAACTGTGGAGATCTTCAATGAGCGTATCCTTGAGGTGAGTTTGAGCGTGTGGTTGGCTCGGTGGCAGAGGTTTCTATGTACGGTATCTACCTGTCTCTGTCTGTCTGTCTTACTATTTTTCTACACAAGAGGTACACAAAGGAAAGTAAGTATTTATCTGTTGTAACTCGGAGCTTCATGGCTTCACTATCAATCATCAGACAACTGGTGTCTGATGATTGATAATTGGACCATGAAACTCTGAATTACAACAAATAAGCCCCTACTGTCCTTTGTGCACCAGTACCTCTCCTGTGAAGTGCGCCCTGCCCAGCACAGGTATTGGCTAAGGCGCACTGCCTCGGTGTATCAATATAATTGCCCGATGGTGTCCTATCCATCGATCCATCTATTCACTTATTTATATTATCCATCTACTTCGAAGTACACCAACTGTTTGAACAGTGCTCAATGCGCTGGGTGCAAAGCGTTCATACACATGGAAGGCAAAAAGGTGTGAAACCACTCGAGACGTTTGTTACTCAAAGCTTCATGCCGATGCCAATCTTAACCCTTTGGAGTCCATAACTTTTTTGCTTCCGCAGAATTTGTGGCAGTCACGAAAATGCGCACTCGATTTCCAACATAACTTTGGTTCTACTTCACCGATTTGGAAGATCTTGGGCTCATTGGAAAGCTCTTGATGAGATAAATACAATGAGCCCAAACTCGCCAAGAGCACTACTCATTGTTCGCCACAACGCGCTCCGAACGCGAGTCCAGCTCCAGATCTGAGACGAAATCGGTCTCCTGCAGCCATTTCACTGAATCTAGCTCGGAACTGTTCAAATTTTTTCGAGTAGAAGCTTACCTTGCCGTGACTTCGCGCCGCGCCGGTCCTGGCACGTGCTGCCTGTAGTGAAGCTGGGAAAATCCCTTTTTCCACGCACTGCTGACTCGCAGCACGCAACGCAGAAAATTCAAAATGTTCGACCGCTCGCCGCTATCTCAAACATCATCGGAGAGACTTCGGAGCTGTTCGAGGCGATAGCTGAGAGTTTTCTCTACCATCTAGACCCGTCGATTGTTGCATTCGGTCAAGATTTGGCCGAGAACCGAAAGTTTGACTGCGCCCACATGCATACAAAATGCCCATGGTTCGAAATCGAACCATGGACTCCAAAGGGTTAAGGCAGCTGAACTGTCTACCTTGCTTGCTTGCCCTTTTTTCTAACCGCATCTAGTACTGTGTTTATCGGACAGATCAATAACATAATTATTGCCACAAGACTGGCAGAAGTAGTTTTTGTTTCGTCCACCAGCCATAATATATACCGCTACTTTAAAAATGTAACCGTTCATGCTTTGTGTATGCTGTGTATGCTGTGTATGCTGTGTATGCTGTGTATGCTGTGTATGCTGTGGACCAGACATACATGTACACTCGTTCATGCTTTGTGTATGCTGTGTATGCTGTGGACCAGACATACATGTACACTCGTTCATGCTTTGTGTATGCTGTGTATGCTGTGGACCAGACATACATGTACACTCGTTCATGCTTTGTGTATGCTGTGGACCAGACATACATGTACACTTGAGCATAATCAAAGGCATGTCTGCGGAGGTGGCGGAGGTGCCACTTTTGCTTATGCCATTCCGGATTGATGTCTGAAGAATAATACAATGAAATGACACAAACGGCAGAAACGAACGCCATTAACAACAATAGCAATAGGATTTAAGACTAATGGAAACTTAATCGAAAGTGAAATATAGTACATACTACATGTCCAGCAGAATCTCGTGAATCAGTCCTGTTAGGTGTGTGTGTGTGTGGGGGGGGGGGGGGGGGGCTCCACACCATGCCTGTTGGTCCACAGCCATTGTGCGGACTGTGTCAGCATGTAGGGACTGGTGGAGGGTAAGTCCAAGCCGTGCTGACAATTCTGTCTGCAAGGCCGTCACCAAGGTTGTCCGAGGTCGACCCCTGAAGCGTTCAGTGCCCGCATCGTTGGCCAAGTGAAGATACATATCCACTGCCAGCTATGAAGGAGCAGTTGGGGCTAAACGAAAAATATGGCCAGCGAGACTGTAACGCTGCCTTGTGATCATCTCGCTGATGGGGGCAGCGCCGTAGCGCTTGTACAGGGTGTCATCGTTGGTTTGTTTTAGATATCGCATGTTGATGATGCTCCGTAGCCGGGTCCTGTAGAACGAATCCATTCGCGCCAGCTCCAACATCGGTAGGCCCAAGTGCCGCAGTTGTACGTAAGAATAGGGGCGGCATAGGCGTTGTAAGGCCTCAGCTGAAAACCTTCACTGATCTGGTGTCTCCGACTCCAGATCTTGAGGAGTGAGTTTAAGGGGGCAGCAGCCAGTTGACGCCTCCGAGCAGCATCTTCGGCATCACCCAGGAGGGAGCCTAGTTTGCGGACAGTACGCCACGTTTCTTGGTTCCTATCGGGAAATCGGGCGGGGGTGGTATGTTCTGTCTTTGAGGGATTAACATTCAGGTTCCATCTCGCAAGAACAGTTGGGCGTGTTGTTCGACTTCCCTGAGAAACGTCTCATCCTGGCTCACGTAATCAACGTCATCCACACTGCGATGTCCAGCGGTAGGCCATTGTCCACAGCAGGGCGGAATGGCAGCGCCTGTCGTAGGCCCCAGAGAGCAGTCCCCAGGTAAATGGTAAATAGTACCGGTAGCACTGGAGAGAGACTGTCCCCTTGAGGGACTCCGATGTTTGTCTTGAAGGAGCTTTTCCATGCACCTTTCACTCTAAGTTCAAGCCAGGTTTAAGTCAGTAGTACACGGATCATTCAGATCTCACTCTCTTGGAGGAAAGATTCAAGGATATTCATCAGAACATCACGACAGACAGTGTCGAAAGCTCTGCTCATGTCAATTCCCAATACATGTATGTGGATGGACGTCTTTTGTAAACGGACATGCACAGCCAAAAGTTGGTCCGGCCATACTAGTTCCGCGACACTTTTATCAGTTTTATCACACTTGTGCAGCCTCCTTTCTAGCAGCTTTTCAGCCCATTCTCATCATTGGCAATACATGGGTACATGTACCAAGACCGAAACAATCTTCTTTGTACGGTAAACGGCTACTAAACGCAATTGTGGGAGAGCAGCCAGTATGAAATGGGAATCTTGTCCTACAGAAGGATATGATATGCCGCTGGGTTGACAACACTGCTGAAGAAGCCTTCTGGCACCTGCCAGTCTCAATACTTGAACTACAGTGGTATCGCCCAGCACTACAGGGGGCGGTCGGCTTGTCTCCAGGAACAGCCCAGTTACCACTTCAGCACCCATCAATCTAGTGCACTAAAGCAGCATTGCTGCCACACATTCCGGAGCCAGCATTTGCACACAGAAGCAACTTGCCATGGCATTGAAATTCCTTGCATGAGCGTATGTGATTTGTGGAATCGGCACTGCGTCCAGTGCTCTCTTGAAACTGGATTTTAGTCTCTCTATTCGGCGGCTTCTGGCAATGGCCGGCTCAGTGTAGGCAGCATTCATGCTCGAGTAGTGTAAGAGAACTGGCAGTGTTGTTGGTCTGCCTGAATGTATTTGCTTTGTGTGCAACTCATTGCTTACTTCAAGTTCCTTGTATACATGTGCGCATGTGTGTTTCCTTGCAGCTTGGCGGCAAGATCACAGTCACAGACCCCAGTGCCAGCATAACACTGTCGTCAGTGCAGAACGCACTTGTGCTCTGCCACAGCAGCCTGCAGCAGAAGGGGACTGAAGCCAGCGTCAAGCCAACACTCAAGATTCAGCTGCCCGCAGTGCGACTGGACCACGAGGACCGGGTCGGACTCTACCGGCTGAGGTCCTCACGCAAAGAGTCGCGGCGGTCTTTGCTCTTGTCGCCACTCTTGTCATGGACCGTTTGTTTGCTTGCAGTCACCTATCAATACTGGGGCCTTTACCTTCCTGTCCAACTCAAGGATTCCTTGTAAGTGCCAAACCATGTCCGTTGTCAGCAATGCTTTATTAGAGGCTTTCCCCAGGCTTCAGACTGTCGACGTTGATGGTGTACTCGGATTTTCCATTGTGGCTCACCTTGCCACCAGTGTTGTACAGAAAACTATTCTGAGCTTGTGCAAATTCCTACATGTTACTAAAATTTAATGTGTTCAGCTAATTCAAGCACCAGTATACTATTATACTGCATCTAGCAAACGGAGTATATTTATTTTGATACTTTGAAGTAGTTTCTTGCAACTCCCAACCTTAGGTCCATATTTATTCACGATTTGTTACCCCTCGTATTCATCATCAGGCTGCGCCCGATAATCACCTGCATCGCTAACTGGTATCACTCATTTACTAGGAGTACACACAGTATTTTACTATTTTATTGATTTGTCCAAAGTGTGTTATTCCAGAAAAATCCTGGTTTCTGGGGTAGTTTTAATATGCCATCTTTTTCATGTACACGTATAGGTTTGCGGACAATAAGAAAAGTTTGCACATACATGTTTGTCTTATTTTCTTCCCAGCGCTCCTGCTCTGGTATCCTAGGTTATTTTCCAATTCTAGCTAGAATATGTTTGCTGATTTAGAATTTTATCATAGTTTGCGTCACCTCATTTGCACTTAGCACACGCGCGACCTTTGTTGGGTGCACTCCCGTGATAGTAATCTGCAAAGAAAATATCACTCAGTTCCTCTGGACACTGTGTTGTGTGAAGATCACTGATCGAATACTCCAAAGAGTACCACCGATTGGCAAGATCCGAATGCACAATGTACTCGGAGTATAGACACAGCATGTTCAACTGGGTCACGGTCGCGAAAGAGCACTGCAGGGCATGCGTAGATGTGTGCAAGCCTTGGTCGCTGGTCGTGTGTTGCATGGATTTGAAATTTGTCCTGCCCTTATCATAAACTGTTTTTGAAGCAACTGTGAATGCCCAGAGGAGTCCTGTACTAACGTGTTACCAAGAATACCGTAATCTCCCCCGGTCCCAGCCCGGAAAGTACTGGATGTGTGTAAGCAAGAGTACTCTTGCCTCTTGGGAGTCATCTTTGAAATAGCCCGGCTTGGCGGATAACTTGTGCCGGCAGAAAAATCACGTGGCAGAATTTGGTACTTTTTCTGGTATGTTTCATGCATGTTCGATAAGTTGCGGGATAAAGAAATGGAGCAGAATTCAAAGAAGTGCCTGCCATAATTATAAGGTTTGTACGGTTCTGGGAATTTCACTGCTTTTCGAGCAGAATCTGCCAAATTCAGTAGCTTGGCAGTGCATGCATGTGCAGTGCAGTGTGATCTACCAAGAGTTCAGGAACTCTATGAAAAGAAGGCGAAAAAGAAAAAATGTTTTGAAACAGTGAAAACTGAATCCCGCAAGACAAAAAATAATTGTGCTGACGACTATATTCTGCATTGTATTGAGAATTTGGTTGTATGGGAGAGAAGTGTTTGCAAATGGCCATGTCAAGTCAGTCCCCACAGCCTCTGTATGTTCTGCGAGGGCTGGATAGTGCGGTGCATTCAGTGAAGTTTCTGTCGTCTAATCTGCTTGTCTCTGGGTGTCAGACAGGAGTAGTTACTACGTGGAATTTGAAAACATTGAGGAAGAGTGCAGAGGAGAAAACTGCTCACTCGAAGGGCATACTGGGCTTCGAGCCGGTATCTACCGAGGAGTTTTGGAGCCACGGTAGGGACGGAAAAGTTTGCCTGTGGCGGTTTGGTAATGGCAACTTAGTGTGCGTGCGCAGTCTGGATTTGCTGACGGTAGGGTTTTGTCAATGTTGCAGTGTAGCAATAGATAGTAAACCGTTTATCTGCGGTGCATGGGACGGATCCGGAGAACTAGCAGTGCTGGATGTTGATGACGGTGCTCTTGTAGCGAAGTTTCGGCCACGGCAGTCCACACCGACCGGCATGTGCATGGCAGTAAAGGATATTTCAGACACGGAACACACGTCCAGAGTTCTTACCGCTCACGAAGACGGCCTGGTGAGGACGTGGGATTTGCGCGACACGCGCGAGCCGCTGAGCTCGCTGCGAACGCACTCGGACCCGATTTTCAGCTGTGCATTCGACGGCAATCAACAGCGTGGTGTGGTGGCCGGTGCACAGAGTTCACTAGTCAGTTTCTCGGTGGATTCCAGTGGACAGTTGAGCACAGGCAAAGCTGCAGAGTCCCCGTCGAGCGGCGTCACCAATGTTGACATCAGGAAAGATTCTAAGCTGATGCTGTGCAGTCTGACGGATGGCCGCCTGATGGCATATAGCTGGAAGTCGATGAAGACACTGGCAGTGATGAGTCATCACCTGCAGACCGTACACACGGTCAGCTGTGCCCCGGCCGGCGCCGAGCAACACGTGTTTGCAGCGGGTGGCAAGGACTGCACCGTCTCCCTCTGGTCGCTCTACAAGTAGATGGCAGTGCCAGCTTCGGCATGCGGTTTTGTGGACTGTTGAACTCGTACACAGCCCTCCCTCATGCCAGCTGTTTGATTCAAAGGGTACGCGAGAATTACTCCCACATTCGGTACATCTGTTCAGTTCAAGTACAGGATTATGCAGCACGTTGGAAACCTGTGGTTGAGTAATGCATGTTCAGGACACTATGTGCACTATTGCCAAGCAAGCATGGCATGGACTTGCACGTATGTGCATGCAATGTGGAGTTTACTGGTGCAGTGTCTGCTTGGAGCTCCTAAAGCTGATTTGCCGGTGCAGTGTCTGCGTGGAGCTTGCTGCTTCAAAGGACTAAGTGGTAAGTTGCCATCGAGATTGCAATAAAGAAAAGACTGATGTATTTTTGTGCTTGGGCATATTTATTATTAATTTTAATAGGGTGACTCTACTGTGGGTAATGTGGCACTAATGCCTAGTACCTTAGCAATATGATGAAAGAATACAAAGGAGGTGGGTAAGGGGCCATCCGGCATTATCGATAATTTTCACGAAACGAAAAAGTTTAGTTATGACCCCCCCCCCCCCCTGAACGAAAAATATTGACTTGACAGCTAGAATGGATTGATGTTTCAGCTATCAATATTTTTCATAACGAAACTCCTCGACCCACCCACCCATAAACGAAACTTTTTCGTTTTTGTAAAAGATTGATAATATGGATGGTCTCATAACACAATTATTGTTTTACAATGGTGTTACCCCCAGACCAGCACTTCCTCTACTATCCCTCTATCTCGTGCTGTTATCTCCAGCATGGGCTTGCGACTACTACTAGCACTAGTATCTGGTTTGGAGGCAACAGCGTAGTGAATGCCCAGTAGTCCTGGACACTTGTTCTGCGCCTCCATAGGCGGCACTGACTCACACTGCTGTCTGGAGTTCATGAGGTGTTTGTCGCACTGGAAACGGAGCACCGCTGTAAGATGGTATCCCTGGCGATGTTTGGACTGCTGCAGTGCTGTAAATCAAAGTCTTCCTGCAAAACAATTAGATTGGCGTAGTCGAACTCAACGGGCGAGGGGTGAATTCCCAAAGCACTGTATATTGAGCAGCGAGTGGTGCTTCCTTGCATGTTTGCAGAGTTAACGGTTCGATGGACTTCTCGTGTGCTCTGGATGGCAGTCATGAGTCAGTCAAGTGTCCAGTCCTGTAAGCAGTCCTCATGAAAAGCGCGAGCTCCCACTCAGGGAGCAACACACAAACCAGTTTTGTGTCCAACATTTTTGGGCCGTACCCATCTCCAGGAATGAAAATATGGAATTATTCTTGAAGATGGGTCCTCCCCGGAGATGAAACTAACCAGTACATTCATCTTTAGACAACATATACATCATGTATGTAGGTGATATAATAGGCCATTCACACGACGTGCAAACATTGGCACGCATGTGACCAAGATAACACTGGCAAACCGTGATCCAGTTCACACGGTGCTGAGCAAATTTTGCACACGTCAATGTATCCATAGTGATCTCCTGAAAATCCCGGGAAATTTTGAATTTCACTTTGTTCAAGCACTGCATTTGCAGTACGCACTTTCAACAACCGACACTTTTGCTGGCGTGCAAAGTATAATCGTGAGCACACGGGCTCCGGCCATGTTCAAAAATCAGTTGCACGCGTGTGTCCAAGTTTATCGTATGTGAGTAAATATCCTTGGAAACGATACGATAAAGGTGAGTTTGCACATCATGTGAATGGCCTATAGGCAGCAGTAAGTAGATTAGCTTGAACAAACACAAAAAAGGAGTAACGTGATGGTCTACAAGACAAGTACAAATAGTTGTTTTGGAGAAAGAAGGTTCAAAATAACTACAGTAAAACCTGGTTTAAACGTCCACCCCACGGTGCAAGCAAAAGCGGTCTTTAAAACCAGGTCCCACAGTGTTACTGTACAAAAATACCATGGATGCCAACATAATACCAAGAGTATATAACCCCCCAAGAGTGTGCAACTCCTGATACCCTTTCTATGGGGTACGCCGACGGCGAAAACTCACATCACGTGGTGCAGTGTCGCAGTTGTACGTTTCCAGCCCGTTTTTAGCGAGCAGCGGAGTAATAAAAAGTACTCTCCGACAGAAACTCACTGCGGGTATGCAAATCCCCAGCATGATCATGGCAGATATTCGGATTGCGCCCACGCTATCCTTCGTTTGTACGTAGTACGAACGTATCTGAGACACGTGATGTGAGTTTTCGCCGTCGGAGATCCCATATGCAGAGTTGCACACTCTTGGGGGGGGGGGGGGGGGGGGGTTATAATTATACTCTTGATAATACCTTGATGAAGCAATGAAATGAAATATGTATAACAAGATTCGGAAACGTTTTTCTTCGAGAATCATCGGTGAATTTACACCGAATCTTGCCTAAGGGAAAACGCATCGTAATATAATGCCAAGCCAAAGAATATACTTGATGATCGTCCGCGCCCGCCCCAAATTTGGGGGCTGCCCGGGAAATTTAATTTAATTTTCGGAGGTCCGCACGTACGGAAACCGAGCAGTTGCACTTTTCACAGTGAAACCTGGTGGGAATATCGATTTTGGTCACAAACTCGTGCATATTTTGAAGAATGCAAGCAAGGTTGGAATTTCGCAAAAAATGTGCTTTGTTTCTGGAGTGTTGTTTGGTTGGCATGAGGCTGCTCCATGTGCACCAACTGTTCGATTCTGTTCTAGATCGTACCAACCAAACACCCTCAGTGATCAAACAATAATGCATAAAAAAATTAAAAAATCTGCCCACCTCCCCATTTTTTTCAGAAGAAAAAAAAAGATGATTTCAAGTATAATCTTTGGCTTGGCCTAAGGGGCCATCCGTAAATATAGATATTTATTTAGAAACGAAAACTAGTCGTTTGGGGGGAGAGGGGGGGGGGGGGGGGGAGGGGGGTTGAGCGCCTGTTCGTTTCTTGAAAAATAGGGCTTGAAAGTGCTACGTCACAGCATAGCAACAATTTCAAAAATTCAAAAATTGGATCCACTTGGATCCAGTTTTTGTATGGATCCAAGCACATTTCAAGCCGTCTTACTCACAGCAAGGTGATGTAACCAGTGAAACTGACTGATTTGGCTACTGGGGGCGGGGTTACAACTGGTTTCGAAGTAAAAATCACCCCTGCATACGACATGAGTGGGTTGCTATGCACCCACATACTGAGGCAATAGCAAAGTCACACCTTAGTGGATCCAAAATAGAAATCTGATGTCAACTTAGTACTCCTTGGCCGTTTTTGACGTCATCACTTTCAAGCCCTATATCGATGTACATTTTGCACGCGTGAGCATGTTCAGAAAAAAGATCAAAAATATCGATACTATGTACCTTTTGTACATGTTCGTTTCTCAGGGAGGGGGGGAGGGGGGTTGAAGAGAAACGACTAGTTTTCGTTTCTAAATAAATATCGGTATTTACGGAAGGCCCCTAAGCTCAAAATGTGCTACCATGCACGCCTGATTGAAGGTTATACATAGTCATTTGACTACAAGTACAGTGCTGGTCAATGAAGTCCAGTAGCGTCACTCAAGTTTGCGCTTTGTACCATTTTGCAGCCTAGTGTTCGCAGGTCTAGCTAGGGCTGTGCAACACCCGGCATGTACTTGGGAATGAGTGACACGACTGGATTTCATTGAGCAGTACTGTACAATAAGGACTTAGGGCTGATTGCATTGTGACCAGGGTGTGAGAACAGTGGAAAAGAATATGCAGCAAGGATGTGAAAATCTACAATGTAAGAAAGTGTATACAATGTAGTGTGAGACACGTGACGTTTTCTTTCCTGACTTTAATATGCGTTCGGAAAGAACACGCCACGTCTCATAGAGATTATGGAATGAGTACGGGTTTTGTTGAAATCTACTCGTTCACCTATGCTTATGCAATATCCATATGTGTACTGTAAAGCGACAAACTTTCGCGGTGCGCAAATTTAGCGTTTTCATAAATTGGGCTGGTTTACGATGAGAAACTTTTGCGAGTCTATCTCTTCAGTCGGATCTTGTACTGTCTACAATCAATGTACGGAGGGGTTTGCGGCGTTTTATATTCGCGAATGTGTGATGGTCGCGAAAATACAAGTAGCGAAATTTAATCTCTAGCGAAAGTTTCTCATTTTACAGTAGGCAGCATGTATGTGGAATATAATTGAATGAAATGAGCGCACCACGGCAGAAAAAGTATAGAATACCGTATAGGTGCGAATAGAAGCCCAGGGGCTCTATTTTTCCAGAAGACACCCAGAAGGGGGGGGGGGGGGGGCTGTATTTGAGAGGGGGCTCTATTCGAGAGGGGGCTTTATTTTTTCAATAGAAACATCAATTTTTCACACCTTTCAAGATGATCGTTTCTGGCGGCCGCACAGTGTGTTCCCATTTTTGCATGTCTCTACGTTGACCCCAGAGGGCCAGAGCGATCCCGTACCTCCGATATGGATCTAGTGATCCGCAAAGCACACTGTGTTGATCGTGCATACCGTACATGGTTCATGTACTGCACTACAACGTACGGACTGTGGGCGCTCGATTAGAGCCCCGGGCTTTTATTCGAGATGGGGCTGTATTACTTCGAATGCCTCTGAGGGACGGGCTCTATTCGAGAGGGGGCTCTATTCGAAGGGGGGCTTGTATTCGCGCGTGTACGGTATTGGTCAATTTGCCATGGCAATATCTGACAGGCTATTTTGGATTAATTTAGAAAAGAAAATAGGGCTTGCTGCGTCAATTAAACACACACAAACTTCAAATGCAGTGTTCAGATATGCTATAATTAACTTGAAAGGAAAGGAAAGGGAAGGAATGAGTACTGTGGTGTGGCAAAGGCCGCCGGCATTCATGACCTGGTGACATTGCGAAGATGGACATGCACCCTTGACCAATCATTCCATCATGGTGTTATCTCTTCTATTGTTATGTTGTACCCGTCGTTTCTCACAAAAGGACACCAATTAACACAACAGGGAAACGAACAAGAACACAACTGCAGCTAGAAGCACCGCACACGGCTGTTCCCAGTGCAGCTTTTATCAATATAGCTGCGCACTGTAGCAACGACCTTGGATACGGTACCTTGGGGCACGCGTGCGTACGCGTGGGTGCGAACAGCACGATTTGTGTGATGTTCACTGCAAGAAATTTGAATTTTATGAATGTCCTTTGGTGGCGAGTGTCGACGTCCATTGATTGTCGACATGTCGATCTCTCTGTTTGCTGTAAAACATGCTTTTGCTTGTCCGTGGCATTATCGTCTTTCCTGTGAAAGCAACTTTCCTTTTTCTCACTACAACCTCCACGATGCGTAATTTCACTTGTGGTTCTGTCAACATTTTGCAAAACATGCATGCGGGAGCTGCAAACATATGGAGGATGAACCTCTGCAGAATCGCAGGAGACGTCAATACCAAAGCAGGTCTCCAGCTTACCTGCAAGTGGTCCTGCAACGTAGCTCTGGGACTTGCCCATCCGCGAGAATCTCATGCCACCAACTCGGCAAACCTGAGCCAGGCGTTGGCCATGGACGTCCAAGGACGCCAAGAAAAAAGCTACTTCCTCGCAAACCTGCAAAGTTGGCATGCTTGAAGATACGAAAACTAGGAAAAGGAACCCATGGCTTTTCGACACCCAGGCCAGAAAAGGTGTACCGTACCAAAAAGTCGCCAGAAAGTACAGCTTGTAACATCCGTGACTGATGACTAAAAGGATACACAAGCTTATCTAAGGTACTCACGCGGGAAATTGAAAAGCACTGGGAATATTCATTCGGTCGGTAGAATCGGTAGAGCAAGGGTCGTGGGTTGTTGGAAGCCAAAGTTGGACGCCAATGCATCGACGGTGCCATCGTCCCTTAACTTGCTGACCACGAGATAGCATTGTGTTGAGTCTTTCCTTTCCAGGAGTTGGTGCAGCACGGAAAGGAGTAATGAGCAACATCAATAGTGGGTAGGCACTATCCCTCACGATGTGCTTGTCATTCTGCAACAAACCACCTGTCAGATGTTCATGGAGAGGGGAATTCCAGAAGACTCTGGCGTTGTGGACTGAACCAGGCCATCCAGCTTACACATCTGTGAACAGCATTTCATGGTCACAGACAGCCTGCAGAAGAATTGAATGCCACCCCTTTCGACTGATGTAGGAGAGTGCATTCTCTTGTGGAGCTTGGCAGGGCAAATGGCTTCCGTCAATGGCACCCACAGCACCAGGGAAACCGCCAGACATGGTATGGAAACCAGCAGCTATATCGTCAAGCCGTCCTTCGTCGGGCCACTTGATGGTGGACGGTCCAAGGTTGATCACAAGCGCTGAGTGACACAACACATTTCAGGCAGGATTGGGCGGTTGACCTCGCCAAGTCAAACCGATCGGCTAATTGCCTATAGGGTTCCTGGTTGCTCAAGGTCCAAAGCGTCAAAAGGAGCTGTTTTCCTGTGTCTATCTTCTTCCTCCCAGATTTAGCATTTTTCGACAAATTCTAGAGGGCCAGCAATTTGACCAAGAAGGACTTTGTATGTACTTCTCGTCAGTCGGAAATGACTTCTGAACGTAGGATCTATCAGTGTTGGCACCGTCACCTCGTAATACCCAGTGACACATTCCCTAGCTTTCCGTTCCTGGCCAGGAATCAACTCGCCAAGCAAAGTGAGAACCTCATCCTCTCCCTCTTCCTCGTCGCTACTGAGTAGCTCATGGAGGGCTTGATCAACAGCTGCGGCTGCAATGGGCAATAGCTGGGCATCCATACTAGCAAAGGCAATACTCACAACAATCCAACACCATCAGGTTCTTTGAAGTAGACAGACACGTACATGTAGCTAGAAATTGACACCTTGATCTTTGCTTGCTAGTTCCTCCGTGTGCTAGAGTCTTGTTTGGTGGGTGCCGTACATGGACCGTGCATAATGCAAAACTGGTGTAGAGTTCTTCCGCGTATATGTTTGCACGTATGGCGAAAACTACTAATCCAGTAGAGTACCATTCGCACAGTTACCTCTACCGTCTACTGCTATCGGTAGAATTTCTCTTTCCCTACTCTACCAGTACAGTAGAGTGCCGATCATCCGCACTCCTCGGGGCGCGGGGCTGTCTCCAGGGGGTTCGGATGAGGTAGCGACCACCCATCCATCTAAAACATGCATATCCCCTCGTGTTAACATCTTTTACTATTTCTCTTCAGCAGTTCTACAGGAATTCGACACACTCCAGCTCTGCATAATGACACTTTAGGTACCCATTTCTATCCCAACCTGTTGCCATGCACCTTGTGCGCCATTGGAATGATGCACAGGGTGGGGAAAATCAGTAAAAACTCATTTTCGTCCCTTAAATTCAGTGCAAACAGGCATTTCGGATAATTGATCTTTCAGATAGTTGGCGTTCGGATAATCGGCATTCTACTGTAGCTAAAACTTGCGAACGCAGCCTTATTGTGCTTGTAGTCAATGTATCTGTGTGTATGTGTGTGTGTGTGTGTGTGTGTGTGTGTGTGTGTGTGTGTGTGTGTGTGTGTGCGTGTGTGTGTGTGTGTGTGTGTGTGTGTGTGTGTGTGCAGCCAGACATTCGCGGTCCTGCTTGTGATCCGTGTCCCGTTTTCTGGTTCCCTTTCCATAGGGGTGACACTTGCCCCTCTGGGCAGTCATGCTGCTAGTAGTAGTAGTAGTGTGTGTGTGTGTGTATGTGTGTGTGTGTGTGTGTGTGGCACGGGCACTTCTCAGGTGTTTTGAATGTCTGCAGTACTTACGATGCAGAGGTATTCCAGCAAATCCCCCAGCGGGAGGTCATGCACTCGCTAACGCAGCCACCGTCGGGAGAGGAGTTGACCCATGCCCTGAGACATCTGAAGAACGGCAAGGCTGGTGGCATGTCGCAGATCGTGCCTGAACTGTTGAAGGCTGGTGTGCCCGTCCTCCACCCACTCCTTCTGGACCTGCTTCAATCTGTCTGGTCGGAGGGTTACGTACCGCAGGACTGGCGTGATGCAGTGCTCATCCCCATACCTAAGAAGGGTGACCTTTCTCGCTGCGACAACTGGCGAGGAATTGCGTTGCTGGAGGTTGTGGGGAAGCTAGTTGCTAGGGTCGTGCAGAATCGGCTGCAAGTGCTCGCTGAGGATGAGCTACCGGAGTCGCAGTGTGGGTTCCGGCGAAACCGTGGTTGTGCTGATGCCATCTTCTCTGTCCGCCAACTGGTAGAGAAATCATATGAGCATAGATCGAAGCTGTTTTGCGTCTTTGTGGACCTCCGCAAAGCATACGACTCTGTGCCTCGTGAGGCTCTGTGGCAGGCATTGCTTCGGCTCGGTGTCCCCCCTCAGGCTGTGGCTCTCGTGAAGTCGTTCCATACGGACATGTTGGCGTCTGTTCGTGTTGCTGGTGGTTGTACCGATCCGATCTCTGTACAAAATGGTTTACGGCAGGGGTGTGTCATGGCTCCTGTGCTGTTCAACCTGTATTTCGGATTGGTGATGGAGCGGTGGAGGTCTGTTCTCAGGGAGCGCGGCATCGAGTCTGGTGTGGATTTCAGCTTCTTGATTAATGGACAGTTGTTTCCCCGTGCAGCTGGGCGACGTCGACAGTCTCAGACTGGTCATGCTGATGATTTTGAGTTTGCCGATGACGCCGTCCTACTCGCAACAACTCTTGCTGCAGCCGACCTGTCCCTGTCCGCCTTCTGCGATGTGGCATCCAGCTTTGGCCTCACGGTCAGCATGACGAAGACTAAGCTACTGGTCGCGGGCTATGGAGTCGCTGCCGCTGATTGTTCCGATCTGGCAGTTGGCAATGAAAGGGTTGAAGCTGTTACCTCCTTCCCCTATCTTGGATCTGTTATAACTCCGGATTCGCGAGCTCATGCCGATGTCCAGAGCCGCCTTGCGAAGGGTGCCAGGGCCTTTGGCTGTCTTCGGCGGATTTTACATGATCAGAGCCTGAACCTGCCTACTCGACGGCATTTGTATGTGGTATGTGTTCTCACCACGGTTTTGTATGGCTCGGAGTGTTGGACCCCATTGAAGTCGGACTTGGACAAGCTGGACAGGTTCCATCACGCCAACCTACGGTCAATCCTTGGCATTTCGCGCGGCCGCCAGTGGGAGCAGCACATTACATCGGAGCAACTACGCACACAGTGGGGTGACCCTACTCCACTGTCGTGCATGGTACAGCGAAGACGCTTGGAGTGGCTTGGGCACCTAGCTCGGCTTGATAACAATCGGTTACCCAAGCAGTTGCTCTTCGCTCATCTTCCACGAACCCGCCCGTTTTGCGGCCCCCGACATCGCTGGAAGGACGTTGTCCAGGCTGATCTGACTGTGGCCGGTGTGCACAATTGGTTCCAATCAGCCAACGATCGCGGAGAGTGGCGTGACATAGTGTCGGCAGCAGCGGGGGTGAAGGAGCCTGCCCCGAAGACGATTGTGTGCCACGTTTGCGGCCGCCTGTTTCGTCGGCGCGCCGACATGGCCCGGCACAAGTGCACAGCAGTCCGACAGCTCCCCATATCACAGCAGCCTGGGTCGGTGCAGTGTCCTGCCTGCAGTAGATGGCTCCGGAGCAGGGGTGGGCTTGCAGTGCATAAGTGCCTAGGGAGTGACAACTGTGACGACCGACCGCCTTTTGATGCTCCTCCTGTTGCCGAGGTCCCGGGGTGTACTGCCTGCCAGCGTACTTTCAAGTCTACTGCTGGCCTCAAGCGCCATCGCTGTGGACCCCGCCCGAAGCGCCCTACAGTGACTGATCGCCAGCACTTTGAACATCATTGCCGAGTCTGTAGTCAACGCCAGTTTCGGAGGCGACAGGACCTGGAGCGCCATTTGAAGCACTGCCTACCTCTCCCCTAACCTCTCTGACAGTACCTCCCTTTGGGGAGCGGCGTGGCCATTTCTGGCAGCTGTCAATAGTAGTAGTAGTAGTGTGTGTGTGTGTGTGTGTGTGTGTATGTGTGTCTGTGTGTGTGTGTGCCCATGTGTGTCTGTGTCTGTGTTTGTGTGTTTATGCATGTGTATGTGCACGTGCATGCGTACGCCGGTCTGCTTCATGCCATCCTAGTACACTGCGCTGTGCCTGGACGCCGGATTGGGTGATGCTGTGTGGTGTAAACAACGTGTGCAACACTTTTGGCTCTGATACTCGTCCCGGTCAGGTGAGCTCCCATATCTGTCTAATATCTGTCCAGGGTTCTTTCACATTCTTTTATTGTGGACGTTGTGCCTTGTCTGGTACTGGGTGAAGTCCGGGAAGATGGGGGGGGGGGGGGGGGGGGGCGGGGGGCAGGCATAGTCATTGATACTCTGTGTTTGTACTGGTCGGGTTGTACAGGCCTGTAAATAGAGTAGGCCTGGCATGGCATGCGTTATCGAGAAGGAAATGTGGGGCAGTGGCTTGTGTGTCTGTGTGTGTGTGCCCATATGTATCTTGTAACAAGTAACTGCTGCAGTGGTCGATGAATTCGTAGATGGTATCTAGTCACGGTTTGTGCCGGTTAGTGACAGTCGGGTCCGACAAGCACAACCAGTGGTTTGCACGCAGTGCTGGGTCTACCTGTTGTGGTGTGTTTGCTTTATTGTTCCTAATGGTGTCACTGGTTGGTTGGTGGGTTGGTTGGTTGGTGGGTTGGTTGGTTGGTGGGTTGGTTGGCGGATGCTGTCAGATATTCGCTCGTGGCATGCTGTGTCGTGCTGTGCAGTGCTTAGCAGCCTGGCGTCTTTCAAGAGCGCCTCACCGTGGTGGTGGTGGTGGTGGTATTGCACCTTGTTGCGTCCGACCGTGTCGACTTTGGCAGTTCCTTGTCAGATGCTGCGTGAGGAACTGTGGCTATGGGAGTGACCCCCCGTCAGCTTCCCTATTATCCTATTATCTCCGTCGGTAGTCTGTGGCCTAGGGTGTCATTGCAGCGACTGTAGTGCTCAGTCAGTTGACTACTCAGTACTGGACGTGACTTATCAAGGAAAGGGTTCTCGTGGGCAAAAAAGAAGAAAGTAAGCTCAGAAAGATGCGCAGTGCAATGTGTCACTCCAAACAGTGTGTGTGTGTGGGGGGGGGGGGGGGGGGGGCGTTAGTATTATTCTTGACGACTAAGTGCAGTAAAACGGATGTCACAGATCGCAGTAATGCAGTGCAGACAAATATTTAGTTTGGAGCTGACCTCTGCCAGCAGTGGATGCAGTTTTGAGAATCCACCGCAAGGTTTTCTCCCGCATCACAGAGGGCATGCATCTTCCTTGTTCCCTCTTCGTCTCTACGTACTTGCTTGTCTTCAGGTGTGTGTTGCGGACGGGCGACAGTTGCTCTTTCTCGTAAGGTCGAGCACCCCGTTACATAATTTACGCAACAGCTTACCACCACCAGAATAAATGATGTCACCATGCTGACGATCTCAATCCAACACAATCTTGTTGGCAGCTTTCGTCAACTTGTCTTCCGGCTTCTTTGCCCAATACCTGCCCACCATGCCCCCCCCCCCCCCCCCGCATTAAAAGAGAACAACTTCCAATACACTCGCTGATGGCTACATTATAGTCAGTTGAAATGTGTACGTACATTTGCACACGACTTCTTTCCGTGCTCAGTGATTATGCAGTAGATATGCATGTGGTGTGAAGTGCTCTGAAATGGTGAATCCTTGTGGTTGAAATCTTGAAAACATGTGGAAAACAACGTGGTTGGTAGTCACTGAATTGAGAGTTCTGAGGGGTCTTCACACTTGGACAGTAGATGATGTTGATGTGGGTGGTGGTGGTGATGGTCGTCGTTGTCCTGGTGTGTGTGTATGCATAGAGGGGATGTTGTTATGGTCCTATGCCGTGAGTATACCAGCCTTCCTGGTCTTCCAGCAATGCCTTTTGCGCCACAGCTTCTTGTCCTCTTGTAATTGTCCTCTTGGCTGGCCTTCACGTCATCGTAGACTGTAAGGGGCTTGCAGAGACCACTGACAGTGCTGCAGTGCAGGCCTCCCGTGATCTCCTGTGATCTCCTGAACTCTTACTTCAAAGTGTGCAAACTGTCTGTCCTACATGTACATGTACATGTACAATGTATATCACTGAGTCTGCACTGCATTGGAGTACTACTAGCCAGGAGTGTGGCTTGCTGGTTTGATTGATGACTGGGCACTCTTCTTTGCATCGGAGAGTAAGGGGTGTACTACTAGCTGCTGTGCTGCCTAATCTTGCAATGATTGCTAGAATGTGTACTTGTTGCCATAATAAGCTAAACATTGGTAGCTACATTACAAGGACTATAGGTGAGCAGGTAGATTGGTCTGGGGGAACAATGCCTGGTAACATCTTGTCCCAACAGTGATAATGTGCTTATTGTTCCTAGCCAACAGTTGCTCTTTCTCCTTTTTCTTCTTCTTCTACTGCTCTTAGGACTGCTGGTAAATTTCATTAGTGACCCTGGTAATTGTGTGCCGGTCCCTGCTCCCTGGCCAAAGCCACAACTTAGCCAGTCTGGTATACTATCTACTAGGCAGTGTATATGACAATGAGACTGAGTCGGTGATAAGTCGGCTCAACTGCATGGTGTCAGGCTCACCACCGTGGGGCACTCTTGCTATCTGCTTGTTTTCCTTGTTAGGAGCGTGTGCACACACTTTGCACTAAGCTGTGCAGGCAAGAGACAATGCCACATGCCGAGCGCCACCACCACCACCACGGCCATTGCTGATCTCCAGTCCAGTATCCCCAGTACCGGCCACTACTCCAGTATCCCCAGTTCCGGCCACTGGACAGGATCTAGGACCTACTAGTACTAGTAACTAGATTAGCAAGCAGAGCCAGCAGCAGTGATGTCCGAAAATCTAATTCACACTAATCAGATGGGCCATTGATTGTCCTGAGTACTGCAAATTACTTTTATTGCTTTATCGTGTCATGGCTGGTGTTTACTGCACGGCAACTGTGTGGGGGGCTTGCTGGCATATCCGGCTATGATATGGAGAGTGTGAATCCTCTCTGGTACTTGTACTGCAGTTTAGATGATTGTACATATCCACATTTGTGTCTGGACTACCGGTTTGCTGAGTGTCCTGCCTGGGACTCACTTCACCTTCTCTTGGAGCTCTCTTTTCTTGACGAATCCTGGGTGATGACTGACGGCTGCTTGCAGTGTGGGTGTGCCCCCGTGGTGGTCCATGAATTGAGGGCAGCTCTTTAAGATCTTGACTTGAAGGGCTCTTCGTCATCTCGTCCTTGTGTGGCTGTTAGGTGATGCAGCATGGCCTAGCCTAGTCTTGGATTGCTGTTTGTGTGTTGTGGTGTATGTGTGTGGGGGATATGTGCCTGCCTGGATACATGTATATGTGCATACTTGTATGAAGTTGATATGTGTGTGCTCCTCTGTGAACTTTTGGCAAGTAAGGTTTGCCCTGTAGCCTAGACTACTGTTGTATCAATGAAGCTTTATTAGAAGTGAAGGAAGTCCACTACTAAGTACTAGTCACTGGTACTATGCTGTACACTGTGTATGCAAGAATAGACAAAGAGAAAGAAGGATAATGCTCAACTTCTACAAGGCACTGAGCTGACTCACTTGCTAGGATTTCATTGAGCAGCACTGCAGCTTGTTTGTGTAGACACTGGGTAGTGAGTACATGTATTTGTTTGGTTTGGTACACTAGTAGTAGTCTGGCAGTCCTGGCCTGCACGCTCCACACCTGCCCTGCTTTGTTTGGCTGGTCAAGCATTGCATCGTTGACATTATGATTCAGCTACAGTGCATGCATGCATGTATACATGTATATGGCCAGGTAGGGCACAATAGTGACACTAATGGCTGCTCTGACCTGTATGCACTGGGCCATCATGAACACAATCAGACTCAGAGTAGAAAATGACTACTGGTATATTGAATCCTCCCAATTATGTAACTACTTACTTGTTGTTGCTGCTGCACATGGACATGCAGTCATATCATACAATGTACAGCACCATGGGCTGAGCACATTTTTTTAAATTAGTGAAACGCCTCCGGGGTTTCATGTGAAAAGTGCTTGTTAGTGGTCCAGTCCGATTTGCATTGTGCTTTAGTAATGCTATGATCAGAGACACAGCTTTTGCCACATTTGGTATCCTAGTAATTATCTGTCTTATCAGGTTCACTGTAGATAGGCTAGGGACATGCCTGTACTATAGTAGTATGACCACTTGTGCAAGTGCTAGTACATGTACTAGTCTACTCTTCCTGCACTGTCTGCGTGGAGTACTAGTGCTACTAGTGCTTGATTTGTGAGGCTGGGTGGTTGGAATTGGGTCAACAAGAATGTGCTGTGGTGGAGTCCCATGGCAATTATTTTCATGTAAATCTGCTTCAGTGCAATAATGACTCATGTGTCATGGTGAATGCCAGCGCACTGGATGAGTATGATAGTATTGGTGTGCCCAGCTCTAAATCTGTGTGTCAACCAGGCATCCTACAGTAATAATTATTAGTATTATCAGCTCCACCTCCTTGTCTCCAAACTCATGCTGTGCAGCATTATAGGCCATTAGTGGCATTAGTGGGCACACTTCAATTTAGACTGCTGGAGGCCAGTTTAACGTGACTATTCTGTAACTGTCCCTGGCGAGATGTGCTTACTCACTTCTGGACGCTTCTCCACGGCTGCAGTTCTTTTTCAAGTGCAAGTACATGGATATTTTAAAAGTTGTTTGTATAGTATTCACTGAGTGAGAGTGAGGGTGAGAGTACTCAGTACTGACTGAATGGCTGTAGGGCCAGTACTTGTTAGTTGTAGTCAGCAATAGCTAGCATGGATACAGGGATGTGACCATACAGTGTCTATAGTTAGTTCATTCACTGATTCAGCACCATCAGTCTTGTTCTAGCCAAGGGCCTGCTGCTGCTGCTGCTGCTGGTCAATACAGCTAGACTGTACTACAAGTGCTGTAGTACAGTGTAACAGTGAAGTGGATATGGGGCTAACGGCTATGGTACTTGAGAAATTGCCAGAGAATCCTGTCCATGGGATGGCCACTGTGTCTCAAGTGACCAGCATTTTTTTAGGGGGGGGGGGGGGGCAGAGAGATGTTCCATGTACTGCAGAGTAGAGGAGTGTTTTGCTATGCTCTGTGTGTAGCACTGTCCTTTTACCTGAAGTCACAATGGCGTGAGCTGTGTGGCATTCAGCTCTTTTCCCTGTTAGAAGTGGGCAGATTGCGGATGCGTGTTACCGTGCCCATATGTCAATTCTGGATGATAAACAATCCGAGGCCGTGACTCTGGACAATAATAAAGAATCTGGAATACCCGGATACATAGCCATTCCTAGCATCAGGACTCCAAGGGTCCACAAACATTGACTCTTGCTCTTGGGTACTCCCCTCAGTGCTAGACCATGGAATACTAATTCTGCAGCAGTGTGTGTTGTCAGTGTTGTGTTGCCCGGCAATAATGTATGGGTTGTCAGTGTTGAACATGGGGTGCTACTGGTGGAAAACAGACCACTACTTCTCATGGCCGTGTTTTGAACGGATCTTTCAGACCCTCACTTCAGCTTTACTTGTACTGATGGTGTGGGCGAGCCTCTGCGTGCCTGTAGAATGCCGAATGCGAATCTTTGTGCTATCCCAAGTCACGTTTACCCGCAGTGAATCCTAAATACAAAATGACTGCTGAAATCACTCTGATTGTGTTGTATGATTGCATTGTGTTGTACTGGCAATGAATTGCCTCTCCTAGTTCTAGTACATAATAGTCGATGTATAGCCTGTAAGTGCGTACAGCTCTCACTGTGGTGCCGAATTCAGACAGTACTATACTACTAGTATGTACACAATAGTCAATAGGACTTGCTAGGGTGGTTGTTGTACTGCTGAAATGGGCCAGTCTGGAGCTGCAATTGCTGTGTCTGCTGCTGATGCCGCATGAAAGTGTAGCTCATGGCCACGAAACCAATAGCCAACTACTTGCCCGCAACTGTTTGCCACAGTTTGACGCTGGCTTTGCTTTCTCTGCGCCCAGTTCTTTTAGCCAGCCACTGGTGCTGCCCCTGGGAGTCAGGGAAGCGTTTTGGAGAGATGCAAGCAAACAAGGCACATACACCTGCACACATGCACATACACACACATACACATGCACGCATATGTACGCGCACACACTGCCATTCGTACAGAGATCTTGCAAGCCATACAACTGCGTGTATGGTCTATGGAGCTAGGCAGGCAGTTTTGTCTGATCATTTGTTCCATCCCAGTGAAGAACCAGCTACCGAGCTAGCACTTTAGGCCCACGGAGCAGATGCCAACAAGTGTTGTAATTCCTTGTACTGTACCTTGGTAGTTGTAGTATGTCTTGAAGTATATCGATACTGGGCTGGGCTGCAGGCCAGATGTCTTCTGTTTGTGCTACATTATCACTCAGTCACTTCTGCTCCTAAAAACGTGCTCGCCTGCACATTCTGCTTGCAGCTATCCAACAGTTACACGAACACACACACTTGATGAGCTCAGTTGTTTGCGGGGCCGACCTTTCCGCTTGGCCTTCCGCACATCTGCTATCTTCTCCTGTATTGACGGCACACTATGGATAGCAGGTAGCAGGGGCCCGTGACCGTTCTGGTGCATTTTTGACGGTCCTTTGTTGCCGTAGCTTGTGCCCTGATGTAGAGGTTGTTCGGGATAGCACTGCTCCTGTTTTCCTAGTGCAATTGCTCTGGTTTCAGCTACATGATGTTGTACTTGTACTGGACCATTGGTGTATGCCAGGTATGTCCCCTCCGTACGGTACTACCCTCCCTGTCACTGTCACAAGTAGTTTCCGATCAGAACCCAGCCTAACCGGGGCACCCGCAGAACAGGCCTGTGCACTTACTCTGACTTAGCGCGTCCTGTCTTGGCTTGCTTAGCTTGCGGGGCTAGCAAGAGAGCGGCAAGCGTAACGGCACTTCAAGTAATGTGTGTGCGTGCTTGTCCGTGCCTGCGTGAGCTGCCGTGCGTGAGCGGCAATGGCATGTGTGCGCATGGTGAGCTGACCAGGAGAGAGCACATGGTGAGTGTGGCAAAGATGTCACCGTTTGTCTCCCGGTCTGATCCTATCCATCATTCCATGTAAAGTGTGCTCAGGAGTGACTGCCCACAGCCCACTCTCAGCTTCCTGCGTATGGTCCTATGGATGTACATGTCAACAAAGACGTGACTATGATACGTGTACAATGCAGATGTGTTTGTGTGCAGGCTTTTTGTAAACTATGTCGTTCGAGTCTTTGTGTATCTGTGAAGTGATCCGTTTCCGTTGCTGTCTAGGTCACCTAACCCCAACCTCTGTATCCATCCCAGGAACCCCTGCGCCTTGTCCCCTGTGCAAAACTGCAGCCTATCAGGATCACTATGATCACCTAGCCGTAGCTGTACCAGATGATAGGCGACATCGTTGGTCACACACGCACACACGCACACCACTTCGAAATAGGATTAGCAGCGTACACGCCATATCCATGTACTATCTTTGTAAACCACCCGGTCCGGCGCGGCGCTCGATTTCCACTGAGTCGCTGTCACTACACTCTGTGTCAGCGTCTCTATCCTGGCAGTACTGGTAAAAATCATGACCTCACACCAGCAGCACACAGCACCGGCCGGGGAAGAGCCCTAAGCAAGGGGCGCACACAATGTACCGATTAAGACTAGTGTTTCATGCGCCCATCGGTTGACTGGTTGAGTTCTTGCCGGCGGTCTGATCAAGAGCAGCCGCAACAACAGCAGCAGCAGCATGCTAGGAGGGCTAGGATCACCACCGCCCCGGGCGTCAGCTCTTCAGCTGCCTTCATCTGCTCCTAGGCACAAGGATGCAATAGGCACTGACTAGCAGTGACACTGGTGTTACCGTGTAGTGGTTTAGCGGTGTAGTGGTGGCTTAGGGAGGACTCCGCCAGGCATCCTGTTGTTGCTGTTGCTGCTGCTGCCAGTGCGCGGTGCTGTTGTGCTGTTGTTCCGATGTACATCAATTTGTCATTTGCAGTGCCGATCGGCCCGATCAGCCTGCTTGCTTGCTTGCTTGGTGACCAACCGCATTCTTGCATAACATCGTTCGGCCAGCGGCATAATTCTGCTGCTGCTACTGCTGCTGGCTAGGGCCTAGCTACTAACTGGTGTTACTTGAGGCCACCCGCTTGCTGCTTTCTCAGTTCACATCCTGTACTATGTTTGCCTGTCATGTTGGTCCTGTGGCTCATGGCTGTTGCGCGTGCTAAACTGCTTGTCATGTGCAGATGCAAAAATCCATAACCCGTCATGCTTACGGTATGATGGGGATGGGTGTGTAATGGCACTTTCCTATGTGGTGTTATGTCGTGTGATCCCCGGCGAAGAAAGAAAGACATGCACGTGGCCGTGGCTGCTGTTGCTGATGTCCATCAACCTGTGACCTACTCATAACCACCAGGCACCACCACCACCGCCACCATGGCCGGCACTGGCTAGATGGTACATGCCGACAGGCAGCAGCGGTTCAGGTCAATTTGGTCTGGGGGCACATTTTTATCATCGCACAATTGAGCCTTTTGAGGCTGCTGCCTGGCTGGTGATCCATTAGTAGTTACAAGTGATTTGGAAAATCTGTGTTCTATTATTGTATACATGAATTGAGTTAGCACACCATATGTTTGATGCCCTGCGGCCATTTACCACTGAATGGCATCTTAATTGCCATGTACCTCCTGTGTACTCAGTTGTAACACAAATTTGAGCATGGGCACGTGTACACGTAGACGACGTACACGTCATCCCTGTACTAGCCTAGCCCCTAGCAGTTACATGCACAGGATGCAGCAGGGCAGGCACCGTAAAGTCCTTGGGCGTGTTGCCGCCGCTCAGCACAAGGGCCAAGCACACGCAGTATGCACAGCTACAGCTAGTACAGGTGGTCATTGACACTTGCTGTGCATGTGCTTCTTGTACTTCTAATGCTGCAGCGCTGTAGTACTACTACTAGGGATGGCCTAGTGTGGCCAGCAGTGCAGGCTTTGTCCTTATAATGCTGTAGTACTAGGGATGGCCTAGTGTGGCCAGTACTGGCAGCAGTGCAGGCGCGCCCGGGCTCACGTGTGTGTGTGTGTGTAAGTCTGAGCCTGCACTTCCTGTAACCAAACTATGTGTACAATGGTAATGCCTAATGGTCCCCACTCCGCAGCTAGCTATGCCTAATGGTCCCCACTCCGCAGCTATGCCTGATGGTCCCCACTCCGCAGCTAGCTATGGCTTAGCTTCCAGAGACAAAGAGCTAAAAAGGTGATACTGGCGTTGAAAATGGGATGGCTAGGCGTGCCACAGGATCTAACATCATGTACATCATGTACATGGAGGTGTTGAGATGTTGAGGTGTTGAGGTGTTGAGCATGTGACAGAGCTGGGAGGATGTTGCTTGTCCCTGTTTTGAATAATTACCAGTACGCACAGTGCTCTGGCACTTGCTTCTTGTTTCCTTCTTTTTGAACATTGCTAATTGGGCAAGAGACTCATGATTGGCCTGATTGACCCAGCTAGGGTTGCTGTTGTTACTGCGGCTGTTGGTCGCTGGGCACTGCCACAGTGGCTTAGATAGGGTTGTGTGCAGTTATCCCATGAGTTGTGTGTCATGCTATGCTAATTGCAGGTGGGGCTGTTTCTGCTGGGACTGCCAATAAGGCGTTTCTTTCTTCCAGTGATAGAATGCTAAGTTGCTTCAAGTGTTTGTGGTGTTGAATGTGGCGTCTGTGCTAAACGGTCTCAGTGATGTCATCCTATGCCCACTGCCCCTTAACTACTTGTCAGTTTGCGTGTGTTCATGACTGGGCAGTACGGGGTGGTATTATGAGTACGCCTGTGTCCTTTGAACTCCTTTCCATGTGCCGTATTGATGCCCAGTGCTCAGTGTTGTGCTCCTCAGTCTTCTTGCTATTTTGCACATCTTGTAAGGATGACACCAGTTTAGTGCAGCCCGCTCTACATGTATACTGCACCAGTTC